TATCATTGATTTAACTAAATTATTATTATTCTTTTCCTTTTCTATTTCTCTTTCTATTTGATCAATTTGATGTTTGGATGGTCTATTATGTCGTTGTTTTGGTAAGGGTGTTTGTTCAGCCTTTTCGATAATTTTCAATACTTTTTTAGTATTAAATATAAATTCACCTTTTAATTTTATTTTCTTTTTATTTTTTTGTTTCTTTTGTGTTTCAAGTAACTCTTTATGTTCTTGAAGTTTCTTTCGAAGAATAGCATTTTCAGTATTTAAGCTTTCAATCTGATGAGTTATTCGCTTTGTATATCTTTATATTAGAGAAGTAAGTAGATTATTAATAAATAAAGCTGAATTGAATACTTTATTTGCTTGTTGTAGCTTAATATCATTCAGAGGAAAACTATTAAGCAAAGAGAGATCTAGATCTTTTGGGTTTGCTGGTGTATTTGGAATAGAAAGTGGTGGTAAAAGTGGGGTTGGAAGATTATTTAGAACTTGATGAGAACTAAATGGATTCAAACCTGCTTCTTTCCATTCGCTTTTGATATTTTGATAATTAAAATCTTTTTCTTTTATCTTTTGAAAAAGCTATATCCAATCAGATTGTTATATTTGTTGTATTCCTGTTGTCACAGGATCACCTTTGGGAGTATTCAGAAGCTTTATTGCTAAGCTAAACGCCTAAAGACTAGAAGGTAAAACTAGAAGTTCTATCTTATTTTTATATATATAGCAGGACAGGACAGAACAGAAAGGGCTTAATGTCATTCTGTAACACTACCCCTCTTTTTAAGGTATAGTTTCTATATCATTATCTATTAGGAGGTTTCAGGATTCTGGATTCTGGATTCTAATGCCTCAGGCATTCAGATAGACAGACAGAATCTATATATACTAGTTTTCAAACCAATAAAGGCTTGTAAACTATAAGTGGGCTTTTCACACAGTTTTACTTATAATCAAGGGTAGTTCTATTTAATGTTACGGGATTACTTCTGGGAGTATTCAGAAGCTTTATTGCTGAGTTAAATGTCTAAAAGACTAGGAGGTAGAACTGGAAGTTCTATTTTACTCTTATATATATAGCAGGACAGGACAGGACAGAAAGGGCTTAGTGTCACCCTGTGACACCTGTTCGAAAGTATCGATTAACCTTTTAGACATGATATTGCTTTATTGGTTTATATATTCCAATATTTAATAGCTAAAGTAGATATAAGTAATGAGATAATAGAATAAGAAGATCAATTTTTTTTTCAATATAGAAAGCAATCAAACTTTTTGTAATATGATTAGAATGACTATCCATAATCAATAATCGAGACTGATCTCCTGATATTTTTCGAGATTCTAGCTTAAAAACCTTACATATCCATTCAAAGCCATAATTATTAGAAATCCATTTATTATTGCTTATTAAGAAATATTAGTTTGGAAAAGTATTAATTGGAATTTATACAGTATTGATATTCTGAGTTTTGAAAATGATTATAGGAAGTAAAGAGCCTTTATCTGCATTCACACATTCCAATATAGTTATTCACTCTTGTCTTCTTACTATAACCTTCTAATTCGATTTAAAAATAGAATTCATGATTATATATATTGATTCTGTTTCTCCAATTACATATCCTATCTCATCCATATTATATATATTCTTGAGTTCATAATGTTGTTTTTCGATTCATACTTGAAATGTTAAAAACCATACTGAAATTGTTTTAAATATAGCTTCTTTATACCTTACAGATTCCAATTTACAAAAATAGATTCCTTTAAGTTTGGAATATCGATCTAAAAACCTATAAATCCATTATTGATCTATATAATTTGATTAAAAGGATGAAGGAGTAAATTTTATTTATTTATTTATTTATTTATATTAATTAACGTCTGTTTTGGACCTCCCTAAGGGTATTTAGACGTGCTAAGATAAGGAACTATTTGAGCGGCGTGATCATCGCAACCGAATTTAGCAATTTAACTTCAATGCCAGAGGCTATTCGCTCCTCTGCAGGTGCAATCCGCTTCTATTTCCAGAAGAAAACATTTGATCCGGGTTGTTGTTAAGGCAGAGCTTGATTCCCGGGTGGATAGGCTCGTTGTAGGCTTCGATCCCTATGGTAGAGGAGAAGAAGCGAGAGTGGGTTGCTATTTGTTTAGCCAAGCAGCAGGGCTCTTGTGTTATATATTGGGTTTGCGGTTTTTAGGATGTAGTGTATTCGAGTGATCAGTTGAGTGATGAGTTTATAAGGGATGAGCAGCAAGCTTTGTTGAAAAGATTGGATGAAGGAGTAAATAGTAATACGAAAATGATATATTGATTTAGAATTTCTTAGGCTATTTCTTTCAACAATCTAGGAGTTATAAGATATCTAATAACTATTAATTATAAGATTCATCGTATTAAAATCTTCTTTTCTATATTAAAAAGTTTTTGAAAGGATTTGTAAAATTGAAAACGTAATTGTTATTCAACTATTCGATTTATCAAGATTGATTTCGAAATCTTAAAATAAATAGCAACACTTCGAATTGAAATAAATTCTTTATTTTTTAGATTTTCTATAGTCTTTTGAATATTATCTTCCGATTCATTACGATTTAATGACTTTCGATTCATTATATATTGAATAAACACATAAAATAAAGAAATGAGGGGGTGATTTTGACCCATATTATGATATGACCCACTTCTAGTCAAGTTATATTATAAAAAATTTCTAATTTATTTTTAAATATTTTTATTAAAAAGTTATATAAGCTTTTAGTTGAAAAAGCTCAGAATTTTTAACTTATAATACTTTTCCTATACAGAATAAGCGAATTTTTCAAAATTTTTCGAATTTTCAACTTTAATCCTTCAAAAATACTATTATAAAAATATTTAAAAATAAATGATATATTTTTTTGAATAATTTAAGTTATTTTGAATCTTTTTATATGTCACGGAATTCACCGTATAGTGTAACCCTACGGTATTAATCCTAGTACTCCTCCGGAGTACTCATTCCCATGATTACTAAAACTATTTCACTCAGTTCATTTGTGTACTCTATATATCTAATTAGACGACTCCATCGCCTGATCAGGGTATATAAACCAGGTATGATCCTTATGATCACACCTCAAGTCAATCTAGTTTATTATTACTCTATATATCTATCTCCCGATCAAAGTGACCATTAGACATAGCTATTACCTCCGTGATATTATAATATTATATTTAATTTATCTCATATATTTATAAATAAATCAAAATATAAAAAGCTGAATAATCGTATATTTTAGCCAGAAAAGCGTTACATATGCGGTGAGTAGGTTCCAGAACTCTTATATTCTCCAACATCTTTCCAATCCCTTAAAACAAGTAAATCTGCAAAAAACTCTGCGTATACAAAGCACTACGAATATAACACGCGTTCAATTGATAGGACCCGAATTTGCCAAAATCCCTCAAAATCTAGCATTCTCTCATAACCTTCGTCGCTGAATGTCACCAGATACAGATATTCACATCACCCGATATTATGATTAGTATCCACAAACCACCATTGCAAGAGTGAATGTAAATGCGAATGTGACGAATTAGCGGCAAAGGTGGAAATCGTGGAAATAACGGAGAAACAACAAAGTGGAGAACAGAGTCGCAGGATCCGCATCTAGGGCTATCCATTTATTTCCTAATTCTCCGTGAAGAATGTCATTCGCCCGCTAAAAGATCTCGGAACGAAGTGTGATTTTCTCGTTTAAACATAACCCTGGAGATGATCTTAGACGATGGGCGGGTAGGATTCTTCAAAAGTTAATATAAAGGGGTGTACATACGAGCAATCCGATACGATGTAGGATTTTCAGCCCCGGATTCTGGAGTCCGGAATGAAGGGCGTGGAAGGATCGGTTGCTTGAAGATATTTAGGGGCTGAATTTAGTTTTGATGACACACGGTATCTATCCGCATGTGAGGAACGGAGTTAAGGTTCGGGGAATTCACGATTTCCGAGTATTGCTTTCCAGCTGTGTCGGTTTTATGTATGGCTAACTTTCATTGGTTTGTTGTAGCCGAGCTGATGGAAAATACCTAGTAGGATTTGCTCAATGCAGATGGTTGTGAAGTTAAAGTGAGCGAATACTACATGAGCGATTGAACCCCTTTATTCTTCGGCATCTTTGGCTTTCTTTTCGACAGTTTTCTGACCTTCTTTGTGGGCAGTATCTCTAGTTGCGAGAACAAGAACTGCTCATGCTTTTCGCTTTTTCTTCTTCTTGATATTAGTACGTTCTTATGGATTTATTCCAAGCTACTTCTAGAGGATCTTGTATATTGCGTCCCAGTATTGCTCTCTTTGCGCAACTCATCTGCGCTTGCATTTCTTCACAACTTCTCTATTCTTTGATTGTTGAGCTACTTTTGGATAGGATCCGTCACACTCTCTCGATATTTAGTTCGCTTTCAGCAGAATCTTGAGCTTTCAACGACAGATCCGCAACTCTTTTCCTCTTTACATCTTTTTTTCGTCAATTTGCTATCCGATTTCTATACAGTTTTGAATTTTGTTTCTTCGAATCCTTTTTCTACTCAGCTCGAGTATCTTGCCTGGTATTACTAGTATTCTTGTACTTGGATCGATACACCTTTTACTTGACTGCATGCTGCTCGCAAAACAGCATCATATCTTCGTGCTTGTAACGGCTTCGTATGATAAGCTTTCATCACGGCTTGTCGAACCTATTGCACAGTCTTCAATCTCAACCTCTCCGCTGATTATTTGTCTTTGATTCTATTGGTAAAGGACTAATAGCATGTAGATAGATGTTTTGAATGGTCTAGTTAGGATCAGATATTGAGAATCGTCTTGGGGCTTAAGTTACATTCGGAAAATGAGAGACTCTGCGTGTTGGGTCACAGTTCGGACTTTTGGACATTCTGGATTGAATGATATACCGCCGTCCCCATCTCACTGAGATTCTGTTCAAATCGAACCACACAAAAATTTCCTCTATCACCCTAAGCTTTCCGGTCCGGAGTAATTCTTTCCATTCTTCTGCTGAATGACCCGTTCAATGTCCTGAACTGGTACGAATGCCCTACCAATAACTCTCCACTTCCCTAATTCCTTCTCCTTCCTCAACACAACTTGATGCTTACAGCCAGCCAGATAAAAAATGGCATCTCCTTCCATAGTGCCTTCAGCAGTCATGACTAGAAGTCCATTCTTACAAACAGTAATTTCAATATCTCATCCTAAGGTGCATATGAATTCACCAAGTTCATTTTGTGACAAAACTTTCTAAGAATCTCGGCCTTATGGTCGTCGCAACTAAAAAAGTACCAGCGTACCACACTTTCACGGCGTGTCCTACACCCAGCAATGCAAGAATCAGCACCAAGGATAGTACGAAAACCCATATAATTCCGATAAAGGAAACTACAGAATCCTGGCTGTAGCGTGGAACCAAAAATACAATGGGCGGAACTCCCATAAGGATGATCAAAAATATGTGAGTTTACGGGGTCGAAAATACCAACCGAAGTGCTGTTTTTTCCACATCTATTTTTTGCTACAGAGGGCCCATTGATGCAAGGTCTTTCCATGCATTAGGAATGGCTTCGAGGCATGCTTTGATGAGATTCGATATCTCGGGGTGGTAGTATCCCCTTGGGAACCTTTCTAAACTGAACGCAATAAAATGCATATCAAAGAAGTCCTAAGATGATTTCATCTTTACTTTCAAAATATTCTTGAAGAAAACATATAGACAGCGAATTCAATATCTGAGCTGTGCTATAGTTTGTTTCTTCGGCCCGCAAATGATCAGGCTGTTGAAAAGCGTGGTTTGAAGTCAGACTCAATTGTGGGTTTGTCGTCCATCCAGTATCTTTGAGCAGTACCCAATTGTGTTCCCATGAGATTCAACCATCTTCCATTGTAGCTTCGAGTGTGCAAACTCCGAATTTCATGTCCTAAATCGACATTCGCTTTGCGCTTAATCTTCTCTGCCCTTTCTAAAACGTGGATGTGGCGTTCCTAGCATGATGAGGATATCTAGTTAAGGATCCAAGAAGGTAAGAGTAACTCTTGAGATCTGAATGTATCAGATCGAGTTAATATAACGTCGAGAGAGCATTCCCTTTGAGCAAAAGCCATCGTTAAATCGCATGAAATTTCTTCCAATGTTTTTCCGTAGTCAGTTATTGAAACTAATATTGAACCATCGCTAGAAAAGCCAGCGAGGGCATAGACTCGATCTTGTGGCCACTTACATACCGACCCCTTAGCCAGTGCCATTGCTCGACGAAGATCTAAACTGCCACTTGATAAGTGTTGCGAATACTAGTCACGCGTCGGTAGTTCGAAGCTGCCCGTGTCACTTCTCAATCCCAACATTTTAATTCATTGCTCAGGAACCTAATGGCTATAGCTAGTTGGTCATATGTTATAGATGTAGGATCGCCGCACAGGAAGAGAACGCCGGATGCCATAGCAATTTCCTGGATGATCCACATCCTTACCCAGTATTCACAATCGAAAAAGTCTCTGAGCGAGGCTGTAAGCTCTCTACATCCTGGCATGTTGCAGCGATAATAAACGTCGCAATTGAGGGATGTGAATAATTCCGAACGTGATATTCGACCCAATAGTGAGTCGATGCGATGAGGATTTGATAATGCTAGGTCCTTCAAAGAATTCATGGCAAATGCTGACAACCCACGTGAATCCAATCCGAGCCATGTGTAGACTACTTTCGCTTTTGAGTAGATCTGTGTCATAAGTCGGGCCTGAACATTTTTTTCCTGGTTGTCACTCTGTTTTATACAGACTGCATCGGTCCACACCAGTCCAATTCCCATGCTTCGGAACCTGATAAGAGCATTGGCAAGATTAATGGCGACACTGACTCTAATATTATCAATCCATATTACTGATTGTTCCGGAGAGCTATCCCAACAGTAGGATAAAGCAGTATAATCTTCCATATACTTGTCCACCAGAGACATGGTCTTCATTTCGCATTGTGCCAGCGACTCATCAGGACCAGCCAGAATCGACAGTACTTCTTTAAAGGTAAGTACTCATATACTGATGGATTTGACATGATTTTTGGTTATTCAACGTGCGGTAAAGCTTTCTCTGTAAGACCAATATAGTTGGAATCTAAATGTAGATGTGTATTTGTGAATTTACTACTCACATAATACCAAATTTAACCTTGCCCAGGTTGCCATTGTGATCTAAATGCACAGACAGGATTTCTTCTTTGCGGTTGGTAACGAAGTCTATTGATATCGCAGAGCAGTAATCTTCAAAATGGTGGAGACAGGATCTAAGTAAGTTGATGAGAATGTTGAAGTATGAGAAGGCAGTAAGTGGATGCAATATGCTTGCGAATATTATCCCTTCCGCCATTACTATCATTAGTCTTGCTAACTGAACTTTGATGCAAATGGCTTCTCATTGTTCCATAGACAGCAGGAGATGTTGCTGGTCAACTGAACCATTGGTGCTTTAAACGCTGACGCTGACTCGACCAGGCTAGTTTATCAATCGAGTTTCATCTGAAGAATAGGTAGGACCGCCAAAGAAACTGCATGTATTTGAACAAAACAATACTTGAGCCGATGCATCTCAGCGGCGTAACAACATGCAAAGAATATCAAAGTACTCGACGAGTAGGCAGGTAATTAATACAGAATACCAAGCTAGAACAGGTATTGAGAAAGCTCCTCCAAGAAGATTTTCCCGGCATTTCACATCTTACTTGAAGATTTCTTTTACATAGGTACCTACTGTAGGCAGAAATCTAATAAGTTATTAAAGGTAGTAAATCCGAGAGATCAAATTGGTGAAACTTATCTTATTGACTCTTTGAGAGGTGTCCAAATCTACGAGCCCCAAGAAACCTGAACGACACTTTTGAGATGTGCAACAGACTAGGTTCAAAATAACAATCACGTGGCATTCTTGAACGAGACTACTAGGTACCTATATAGGAATAGAAACATCAAGAGAACGAAAGGTAGAGTTTCATGCTTAATTTCAAGACTAAAAAGGGTTTTCAACGTTGTCTGTCAAGTTAACTTCAGTTATGCAGATCCATCCAATTAGATCCAATTACATCCAATTAGATGCAGATTTGCAGATCTAACACCCCACCCCCAAGCATACCTACCTATCAATAAATCAGTCACTCCGCACGTCATAATTCTCCATTGATGGAAGTACATGAACGTACAGAAAAATAGATTTTATTATAATGAATCTGGTTACCATTTGACCAGCCATACCCATTGGGGATCTGGTGTCGAACTTATCATACATTATATGCCTACTCAGGCTAGCTAGCACCTTCCTCTCGTACCCACTGGAACTATTTATTATGCATAATATTTAATCCACTTCTCCCGCGCATCATAATCCATTTTGATGAAAGCAAATCAGTCTAGATCGATCATCGACGGTGTGAATCATACCTAGACTTGTGATGATCGCTGTCTGGACTCCTCTATTCTACGGTGAATCTAATCAACGAAACGCATGATATACCCAATTCCCACGTCAAACCTCGAGCTTACATTGTAAAAGGAAGGTGGAGATCAAAGGGAGCACTTTCCGTCGGAATTAGCAGATACCTATAAAGAGACCTTCTCTTGTACTACACTTTTAGGTCAATACAACTCATTAGTCACAGTTCAATTAGTCTGTTTCCCATTATCTTCCAGATATATAAACTCGAAAATCCATTTCAGAATGCCATTCCAATATCACTACAGTTATTAAATCAAACTATCTTCTTTTTCCTTCCAAATATATAAATTTGGCCTTCTATATCAGAATTCCATCACAATTACATCCCCATTCTTCGATTCTAACGAAACTTTCAGTTTTCGAGAAAGACAACGTCGATATATCTAACAAGATGGCTGCGACATCTCTTAACATAGATGATGCTGCTGGCTCCCCAATATTTCACCCTGCTGATGCCGAAATTCTGGCAAGAACGGGCCACCTGAAGCCAGCGGATGGAAGAAGAAGTGAAGTGTCATCTCGCCTAATGTTTGAGGGGTATTTTTCAAGCTCGAGCGGGTCAAAAGATTGGTACATAGTTCCAGATCTGCTTGTGTCTCCGGAGACACTGATATATTTCGGGTGGGGACATCAAAAAGCTGAAGAGATTTGGACAAGATGGCGAGAGCTCATATATATGACGGAGTTTCTAGACTTTGTGCTTGAAGAATACGTTCCGGAGGTTCACATGTCAGATGGCCGGGAGGCGTGTATTCAGCAAATGGAGCACTTGGGATTGGCGGATGAGCTGATCAACTGCATAATGGCAAGTGAATTTGAAGATATAAGGATGACGGAAACTGTCCAATACTGGGTTCGCGACACTATGAGTGTTCGATACTTAGGTCTTGAGGGGCTACAAAAGAATAGTGCCAGAAGGAACGAGAAGAGGAGAAGTGGTGTTCAAGACGTTGGTGTGGTTTTAGATTATTAAGAGATGGATTCAAAATTGTAAATGTAACCTTTTAGATATTGGATTGTTTAATCCACTACCTAGTAGGTGTATGAACTGACAGGACACTACGGAAAAAGTGGGGGTATCTCTTAGGGAACTATTACAATTGTTCATTTGAGATGAGACAATTAAATTATAACCTTTGATATCAAACAATCGAAGAATGAATTTGTTATAAATTTCGGTAGTTGAGAAGTGTCCCGTCTCTACTTGGGAGAAAAAAGAGGCCAAAATTGATCACTCTAATAAGTTCTATAATAAATCAATTGATAATGAAATTACAATAATTAATAACGTTGATCAAATCTTTGAATAATCTTCAATTCTAAAAGTATTTAAAATGTTTAATTCCTTGAATTGGAATGAAACAATTGGATTATTGAAGGGCTTTGCCAGTGGTCAATTCCGGCCTGTTTTTCTCCTACGAAGAGCCAGTCAATCCATGCACCTGGTGCACCCACCCACTCACTCACTCACTGATGGACGAACCCCAAGAACTGTGAACGACACTCTTGAGATATGCAACAAACGAGGAAAAGAAATAACCACGTGATGCTGTCTAACAAGACTACTCATTGGCTGACGAAACCGGAGTATCATCGGGAAAAGAGAAAACACTGGGATGTACCATTCTGCAACAAAAGCACCATAAATCATAGGTAATTAGTAGGTACTTCCAACAACCTGCTGCTTCCAACTTAGAGAGCGAGGCAAGCTGGAGAGCAACAGTAGAGCAACAGGAGAGCGAAAAATGTCTACCAAAAATACGCAGGAAGAAGTGCACGAACTCAGATCTCTCCGAGGGGGACGAACCCACCTCTTTAAGCACTTTCGAGACACCTCAAGAAATCCCCATCAGCGAAACTCGGGTTCCGCGACTCGTCTCATATTGACGGCAAGCAGAAATTTATATCTCAAAAATGATGATTGATTATACGAGATGGCAAAAAGTTCCGTGCAAAACCTACTATTGGTGGCGTGAATGCGAATCAGGAGATGATGGACATATTATGTAAGTAAAAGGCTTCCATTATTATACGATACAGTTGAGACAGTGAGGCTCAGCAGGATAGGCATCAATATGGCGAGAAAGTGGAATGCGCAGCAATCATGAATACGCGTACAAATGCAAGTCGATGTTCGGTCTCAGATGAAGGCGATAGATAGGTGCATCGGCATTTGTAATTGTATGGTAGGTAGGTATGGATATTTTGCTAAGTGTATCTGTCTAGTAGTATTCGGTATTGATGATAGCATTCTTCTATTATAAGAACATCAAGATAGGAAGGCAAGAAGAAGCAGCGTGTATTCAATTCTGCATACAATATCGGTTGACCTGATTGACCTGATTGACCTGATTGACCTGATTGACCTGATTGACCTGATTGACCCGATTGACCTGATTGACCTGATTGACCTGATTGACCCATTGACACATCACTTACTCCGTTCATGTACATGCATATACCTATACCTATACCTATCGTACATACAGACCAGACATACACACACATACACAGCACAGCCTTCAAACGTTCGCTTAAACAATGAAAGCGTGAAAGCGTGAAAGCGACATCCCCTCATCCCATCTCTGAAGCCAACTGCGGCAATGGTATGAGCTACATAATAAAGAAAAAAAGATACCAATCAATCATTCCACCACTTTTCATGAGATCTCTTGATACTCATTATTAAGCCCGCCATCGATGAGTAGAAGTTGGTTGTTGTTTTGATATCCAATTGGACTACCGATATCTTCCTCCACTCATAAATCACTCTCGTACAGTCACACCCAATCTCACACTTTGCTTTTGATTGATTTCAATCTCCCTCATACAACCAACGTCCATTCAATACCTAGGTACTGGAAGAAAAGAATTCCATTTCCATTCACCTCACATCCATTTTCCAATATAATATACAAACCTACAATTATCTGAGATTATAATTTGCAAAAAATTCTTCTCTTCTTCAAATTTTCTTGGAGATCAAAATAAAGATTTGATTTTAATTTAATTTCGCTTTCCCCGGCTTTTTCTTCTGACATAGAACTAACAAGGCCATCCATATTTCCACCTTATTCGATTTTTCGACCCCGGGCCTTTTTAACCTTTCTCTTAACTACAACAACAACAACAACAAATCCATTCCTTCTTCCTTCCTTCCGATAACCACACACCGTCTACTGAAATTGTTTCTTATCATTTTGATCGCAAACAATTGAAATTACAGTATTGATATTTTGCATCAATTGATTCAGTCAATATGTCGTACACTCAACAGTATCAAGGTATTGGTGGAAATCCATATCAAAATTCGGGTGCTGCTGAAGCCGGTTATGGAGGTGTAAGCAAAATTCAATTTCATACTCATTGTCTCTTCGTTATCATTATCAAATACTTGCGCAAAATTAATATAGATATATTAACGCCATGACAGAACAATGCAGGCCAGCCAGGGCTCTCGCACGAGATGTCAAACTACTCCCAAGGATCCAACTATTCCTCCGGTACACCCGGCGCCATTCCACCTCCAAGTAACAACGTCCTTACCCAACAAGCTTTCCTCGATCGTGTTGACTTTGCCAAATCCGAAATTCGTTCTCTGTCCTCCAATATCTCCCAAATTGCAACTCTTCACCAACGCGCCCTCTCTTCCCCCGACTCTTCCTCCACCGCCTCCCTCGAAAATCTCGTAACACAAACCCAGCTCAAAAACACTCAAATTCGTGATCAAATCAAGTATTTGGAAGGTGATGCGATCAAGACTCAAGATGGGACCAAGAATATCAAGAGTACGCAAGCTAAGAAGTTGAAGACGGAATTTGAAAATCAGTTGCAGCAGTATAGGGAAGAAGAGTTGAATTATAGAAACGAATATAGACGCCAAATTGGAAGACAGTATCGTATCGTTAACCCTGAAGCCACGGAGGCCGAGGTCGAGGAAGCTAGTCAGATGGATTGGGGTTCGGAAGGTGTTTTCCAAACTGCTGTATGTTTTATCCTACTTCGATTTTGCGTCCCCATGCCATTTTATACTCTCAAAATTTAATTTTACACCTCTAAAACCATACTAACAAACTATTCAGCTCAAATCCAATCGATCTGGACAAGCATCTTCAGTTCTCGGAGCCGTTCGTGCTCGTCACAACGAACTCCAACGTATTGAAGCTACTCTCACCGATCTTGCAGCCATGTTCGCCGATATGGCCCAAATAGTTGAAGCTCAAGATCCAGTTGTCGAACATACCGAACAAAACGCCATCAAAACCGCTGAAGATGTCGACAAAGCAAATGTTCAAATTGACAAGGCGAATGAACATGCCCGTCGTAGAAACAGACTTAAGTGGTGGTGCTTGTTGGTTACGCTCATTATTATCCTGGCCATTGCGTTGGGAGTCGGTCTGGGTGTTGGGCTAGCGGTCAAGGGATCCAAGACTGCTACTAGTTAAGGGCCTGCATGAACGCGCGGAAGTAGTTGAAATTTTCAAATGGATTTGACTACGCGAGTCTTTAGGGACATGCGGTATGATGGAGGGGTAGGGGTTTGAAAGCGATTGAAAAGATTCAACGAATGATGCGTTCCACAGGACCATGAATGGGATGGGACGGAATCTTGTATGTTGTATATTTGTTTGGGGCATCATTTTTCGTAATTTCTTTTTTCTCTATTTGCGCGCGTTTCTTTTCTACTCTTTCTACGAATGAATTGGGGTCTTTAATGCACAATGGGATGGACGACTCACATATCATGTTATGCAAAAGGCTTAGGGTTTTTTACATAAGTATTTTAATATTATGACGACGGGATGGGTTGGGATTTGGGGGAGGGACTATGATTATTGCATAGTTTGGGAAGAATGGGAGAAGAACGGGAGAAGAGAGAAGCTGGGAAGATGGTTGGGGACTGGTTCTTAATAAAGCATGGTTGTGCTTCCAGTGGTTGGGAGTGGAGTTCATGAAGGAGGGAGGAAGGAAGCCAATGTAATGAAATGCAAAATAAACGAATGTCCTTTAGTAATCAAGCAATTATACTATACATGTGTGCTTGCGTGTTTGGAGTGGTCAGAATTCCTCCAAAATTTTAGGAATCAGCGGACGGTCTTGAGGTTGCAGATCTGACGATCTTGCAGATTCTACCCGTAGCTTTACATCAAGTCACCTAGGTAAGCTTTGATACAGATACCTCATGCTACTTCTCATTATCTGAGCCTAGATTCAATCGGATATGTTATCAATCATACATTCAACGAAACCCTTCTCGCCTTCTCTCTATCTCCCTCTTTATGTAGCTTATTCGCCAATTCATCCATTTACCAATTCTTACAATCCTTCCCATATTACCGCATACTAATCGACTACAAGACACCGCACCCACCTCATGTTCATGCACTTTTCACTGACACCACATAAAACCCGCTGCACGAGCCCACAAAACTTCAACCCTGAACCCTTACCGATGAATTCGTCAGCCTTGCACTATCAATCTAGATTGACCAATCATATTCCATCGGTGTATCTTCGGACTATTTCAAGGACAGCTTTCAACTGCTCATTCTAGGCCTGAGCACATCTTCAAAGCACTGAACTCAACATCTCCAAATTTCGAGACTTCTTTTTGTTTTCTTGAATTTCAAGTGTGAAGTTTTCGATGGATTGTGTTGGTTCTTGAGGTTTTATTCACTTCCTATTCTTAGCCTCATTTTCGTGCTTGTTTCTCGTTCTTCAAGGCGACTTTTCATTGGGGAATCAATCGAATTGAGCGGATCCAGAGGATTGCACATGTGAATATTGCAAAGGAGGGAGAGATTGATTTGGAGAATTGTATGCGCAAAGGAAAATAAGAGAATTCCAAACGAGCAGGACGAACAAAACGAGTCTCTGGTAAAATGAACGGATTTTCAGATCATGGGTTGGATGAGGGGTCGTTTGGGGAGAAGGGGGGGATTGTGAAGGCTTTTGATGCTTTTCGTATGTTTATTCTCTTGCTTTTGTATATTTTACTTGCGATCATATATTGAGCTGCAACCACATCCAATTGCCCGCCAATTTTGAAGCATACAATCAACTTGGAAGATCACTAGCTAACTCGACTCCCACTCAAAAGCCAAAGCGAAACCACAATACATAACACAAACTTCTGGGGGCGGCAAATGGACCGTCGTCATGATGCTCGTGTCCTTCGCTCTCCTCGTATCCGAATTCATGCGTTGGTGGACTGGCCACGAAACGCACACCTTCGTAGTTGAGAAGGGTGTTGGACATTCCCTACAGATAAACATGGATATGGTTATCAAAATGAAATGTTCGGAGATCCATATTAACGTACAAGATGCGGCTGGGGATCGCATATTAGCTGGAATAATGCTCAAAGAGGATGCGACGAATTGGAAACAATGGGTGGATGCAAAGGGTATACATCAATTGGGTAAAGATGCACATGGAAGAGTGATTACCGGAGAGGAATATCATGAGGAGGGATTTGGAGAGGAACATGTTCATGATATTGTGGTATTAGGAGGAAAAAAGAGGGCAAAGTTCGCGAAGACCCCAAGAGTCAAGGGTGGTCCTAAGGGGGGTGACAGTTGTAGGGTTTATGGAAGTTTGGAGGTGAATAAGGTGCAGGGAGACTTTCATATCACTGCAAGGGGTCATGGATATCCGGAGATGGGAAAACATTTGGATCATAGTGGTTTGTATTCCTTTTACTTTTCTGCTTGTGAGTGTTTTGGATGACTACTGACGCAATATAGCTTTCAATTTCTCCCACATAATCAACGAGTTATCATTCGGTCCCTTCTACCCCTCCCTTCTCAACCCTCTCGACCGCACCATTGCTGGCACGCCCAACCATTTCCACAAATACCAATACTTCCTCTCCATAGTCCCAACTCTTTACTCCCTCTCGCCATCGACATTTTCTCCCTCGTCATCTCCCACCCTTTTACGCACAAATCAATACGCTGTTACATCACAAGAACATATTGTAGGCGAACGCAGCGTACCGGGCATATTCTTCAAATATGATATTGAGCCGCTTCTTTTGACAGTCGAGGAAAGTAGAGATGGATTCTTGAGATTTGTAGTTAAGGTTGTCAATGTTGTGAGTGGTGTGTTGGTGGCGGGTCATTGGGGATTCACGATTACAGAGTGGGGATTGAGGGTTTGGGGACGGAGGAGTGGGAGAGGTGCGAAGGGTATGTTGGATAGTGGAAAGTACAATGAGGATTAAATACTTGCTGTAAAGGTTGGGAGAAATTTCGTCACATACAGGTAGAGCTCGAGGCGGCAAAAGCGAAATGGGAAGAGAGGAAGAAGGAAAGAGGGAAGGAGAAGAGAATCGAAGAATATAGGTATTTATATATTCACACACACCAGGAGTTTAGGTAGGGAAATGGGAATGGGAAATGGATATATCAAATCTAAATCGAAATGCAAAAAGATTAAAAAAGACCAGTAATTTCGTATCATGGAGAAGGTGAATGATTATCATTTTGATTTTTACCGTCTTTCTAGGTACCGATGTCTTGTTTTTTGTGTAGTATCGCTTCTTATTTCTTGCATTCTGAATGGAACTTCTTGTTGACTGTGAAGGGTGATGGTCAATATCTTGTCTACCCAGTGGGTAGCGAGTGAGTGTACTGTAGTTACTTGATAGTCCAGATAGTGTCACCAGATATTTGTTTGTATTCATTCATTTATCCATTCATTCATTTATCCATTCATTCATTTATCCATTCATTCATTCATTCATTCATTCTTTCATTCTTTCATTCTTTCATTCTTTCATTCTTTCATTCTTTCATTCTTTCATTCTTTCATTCTTTCATTCTTTCATTCTTTCATTCTTTCATTCTTTCATTCTTTCATTCTTTCATTCTTTCTTCATTTTTCATTTTTCTTTCCTATCACTTTAGACTGAAATTTGAGCTCTTTAGTTTGGATATATCTGGGTGGGTAGGTATTGGGTGTTGGGTTCTCGGTTGCTCTCCGGAGGAGGGGGAGGAAATTGGGAATAAAGATGGGAATGGAGGATGGGAATGGAGGATGGGAATGGAGGATGGGAATGGAGGATGGGAATGGAGGATGGGAATGGAGGATGGGAATGGAGATGGAGATGGAGATGGAAATGGAGGATGGATGGTGTGGTATATGTTATGTGTAGTGGAGATGAAATGAGTATTTGTATTGTAGGGTATTGTGTTCTTGTGATGGGGTTGAGTTTGTTAGGGAGGATGGAAGGGAGGTAGAGCGGAGAAGAGGGCGGGGGGGAATGGGGGAAGGAAGGAGGGAGGGAGGAAGAATATGATGAAGGGTTGTTTGGAAGTTGGATGTTGGATGTGGACGGTGATGTGGAGTTAGGATGGTAGGAGAGAGGGGGAGAGGGGGAGGAAAGAAACTGTAGTCTTGAAGTTGAGAGGGCTTCTTGAGTTTGAGTACCGGAGATCAAGTGCTTGGTGAGTGAGTAAATTTCTCAGGGGCGTTGTTACTTTCTCTTTTCTTTCCTTCCTTTTGGTAAGTTGTAATGCAGGATGCAGGCGTACCTTGATACCTTAGATCGTTGTTTAAGTTCTCAGATTCCTGCTCGGATTCTGAGATAAGTGGTAGACACATTGTGTAAGTAAGCGAGGGAACAGGACTAGGTATGGTTTATAAGTTGTAATGGGATACTTAAGGATGATAGTACCTTCAGTTTACAGACGACACAAGGTGAGTAGATGTAAGTGTGGGATGGGACGCGAAGGCTTCTGCATCTTGGTATTATGAGTTTGGACCTTGTTAGTTCTTTGATTTGAGTTCTGTGTTGTAAATGTATCGTTTAATGCTATTCTTCTCGCGGCGTCCATATTCGTGTTTGACTTCGAAGTTTCTTTCACATCGCAGATGTGCATTATAGTACATAAGGTTATATCTTTGAGTAATTCCGATCAAGTCGTTTCAAACTCGTTTCTTTGAAATACAACTCGGAGTCTTGGTTGGAGTTGGGGCCTGGTATGTGTTCTGATAGAGCAGAAAGGAAGATTGGGGGTAACACTGATTGGAGTATGTAATAAGAGACAATAAAAGACATAATCTGGGTTCGTGCTATCAACAGTTTCAATCTTTTGTTTCGAATTCGGCCCTTTTGATCAATGCATGGCTGATGAAAGCGTAGATATTCCTCGGCAAAGCAGTGAGATGTCCATGAGGTGAGATGTGTTTCTTCTCGGCTGTAAGCTTCCAGTTATGTTTGAAACCTGGGGAAAATCTGGGGTATGCTCTACCAATGAGAACAATTTCCATTGTTGGGTTTCTGGGATGTCCGATGGGGTAATAACTTGCTTCTTTCGGTCAACAGCATGACTTAGGATTATGGAAAAAAGTGACAACAATCCCATTTCTGGCTTCCGTCACTAAATAGGTAGGTGGCTTTTGAGCCGGGTACTGTTGAAATCAGGTTGAGGAATGAGTTTATGCTTCGGTTACTTGTCTCCAATTGGCTGAAGTGTATGTTCAGTTATGGATCTCGGATTCACATATCAGAAACAGAAACGGAAAGCATCAATGCTGAAGATAGATTGATGGATTTTCTGCAGCAGCTGCGTATCAGACGACAGGTGTGACAGGAGCCAGATAATACGTAGTTGCATTTGAACGGCATAAGATACAGATGAAATCCATAGAGTTACACTCGGATAGTATTGAGTTATAAATGAAAGTTAGCAAGTGAAGATTTTTTGACAAGGGAGAGTTCGAAGCCAATGACATAAGAAAGTCCAGATGTTGGGAATAGGTAAGTATTCAATGAGGATCATATTGAGTTGCCATGTCTTCAAAAAGTATATGGCATGTTGCATATTGCATCCTATTGATCTTTTGATGGAGAAGCAGCATTGAAGGTGTTAGATGACTGGTAACGAATCTTTTGGGAGAGCTTCTTTGTATGCAATTCGGTCCGAAGTTTGGATGTCAAAAAGAACACAGAACAACACTAGATCGGCTGAGGTAGTACTGAGTGGCTGATTCCCCACCGCGGTTAAAGTCCTTGATCATTTCCCCAGACTTGGCCTTTTTATTGAAGAAATCAGCCTCCAACCCCATCATGTTGTGTAAATCATGAATCATCAACCTGGCGATGAGCTTGTAAATTCGCATAATTACAGAGATCTGCCAAGTCATGGAACACGAATCATGTATAAAGATATTTATATTGTACAGCAGCGGGTTTGAAATGCTTCCACAGCATAAATTCTCCGTCACGGGCCTCGACGTCGTCGTCACTGTACAACATCTTACAATACCGTCACAATGTTAACGCCAAATCACACCTCTTCAACATTTGAACTAGAAATAAGCCTGAACAAATTTTGATCTCGTACAGAATTGCACAGAATATGTCCTATGCAAGATCTTGAATACGCAGTGTAAGTGGCATTCTACCGTCCCCACGGATGTCAAATGATGTGACATCCATCACCGGCAGCAGGGGCCCGGGGCACACGATATTGAAACGAGCTACTGGAATATCGTATTCTTATTTTTATCAATGTGAAAATACGAGATTTCTGTAAAGAAGGTACCGGACGAGGAGACATCACAAGGTATTACTAGAACATAGTGGGTACAACGACAGACCATGAATGACTTTCCAACATTCAAATCTTTCCCTGTGCCCCTTTAGCTATCTCGAGAAGGCGAGACCCGTGCATCATCAATAAGGAATCGTATCATCTAAATCTTGGAACATACCGACCATTCGGTAATCAATTTCGGAAGATATTCATCTGATATTGGGCCTTGAACTATTTTGTGATAGATATTAGGTGGCCATTGAGAATTCCCCTATCATCCCTCCAAATATCCGAGACAATCTGATGAGTTCAAAAATTCAAAATCAAGTGATAATTGTTAGCTGTTTACTCTAATGTTGCACAGGTCGGATAGTTGCAGCGGGACGCATTTTTACCTGCCAAGATTCGAAAAGTGTCAAATCATCAATGAACGTCTACTACCAAGAGTAGGATCGATGCATACCTACATACCTAGGTAGCTCTAGGGATTTGACATGTTTCCGTTTAGAAGTTTGAGCCACCCGAAGACTTCATTTATTTTGTTGATATTTGGACAATTTCCCCAATAAATATCCTTGCTGCAATGGAGAAAGACTATTTTCCGACTTCACTTCAACCAACAGAGTTGGTGCTTGATATTGACGGGAGTTGTTTATCGGCCCCTTTTCAGGATCACACTGAACAATTTAATATCTAAGAAACATAAGCACCAATAGATATGATGCCAAGTGCATTATTCTATCCTTTAGACAATACGGCAAGAGGTGGAATGACTTTCATCATTCACCAAACAACTCATCTATTTCACTAAGATTAATATCTCAATACCTTCTGTCACTGGCTCGGTTAGTTTCACAGAGATTAGTATTGTTTTGCTTCTGATTGTACTTTTTAATGACATTTCTTTTAAATACTCTTCATACCTTCAAGTCTACATGGACTTTTCAATCCAGACCTTTCCAACAACTCTGTGTCTGTGACACTTCCTTTCGATTCAATCATTCAAAACTTCATTACCATCTTGATCTTAGCAGCTGGTCTCACACTCTTTCACCCAACCCATTACATTCATCTCTTGCAGTTGAAATATCCAGCATGCAAACAAACACCTTGCTCCAGTTGGCTTTATGCCTTCTCACCATCAATGTCAATCCTGCACTGGCATTCTGGCGTCTACCATGTCAGAATCCAATTGTGGTGGAGAGATCTGACCCAGTTGTCTCTCCAGGTAGTGTCTCTGGTCATGTTCATACCATCATGGGGTAAGTTCAGTGTGACTCAACTCCTCTTCTTTCTTACAAATTTTATATTGCTACATAATGCTGATCTTCCTGACCTACAGTGGTAATGGCTTCGGTTTCACTATGAATTATGCTTCTACCCAAGCATCAACTTGCACTTCCTGTACTGTCACGAAGGTAAATTTTCACAAATCATGGATGGATATCTTAAACTGACCGAAATACAGGATCTTTCCAATTATTGGACTCCAACTTTGTATTACAGATCTCAAAATGGCAGTTTCATCTCTGTCGGCCAAAATGGTGGTGTTACAGTTTACTACTTGTATGTCTACCTTTCAATCATCTTCCTACTTTGAATCATCGCTTACCCTGGACTTTTAGGCAGCGAAGTGATCCATTAGATCCCGAGTACTCCAAAGGCTTGCTGGCTTTTCCCGAAGGCTTCCGCATGCTTGCAGGAAATCCATTGCTCCGATCATACAACGCAAGCTCTTTAGAGCAACAAGCAGTCACTTATGTCTGTCTCGGTACTGACAAGCCTCAAACAAATGGATTCCCAAATTACCCATGCCCATACGGTCTCCGAACACAAATCTTTTTCCCATCATGCTGGGATGGGAAGAATTTGGATTCTCCTGATCATAAGTCCCACATGGCCTATCCTAGTCTTTCTGATAGTGGACATTGTCCTTCCACTCATCCAAAGCGTTTAGTCTCTATTTTCTATGAGATTATCTGGAATACTCCTGATTTTGCTGATAAAGTAAGTGCATCAACATTCTATCTAGTCTTATGTCTGCGTGAAAATGGGAACTTTCATTGCCCGACATTTGATGCAGCACAAATGAAAGAACTCTAAGCCATCCTTTTATATACAAGATTTCGATGCTAACAATAAACTCTCTAGTGGTATGGTAATTCGCAACCATTCGTCTGGTCTATGGGAGACCCAACTGGCTATGGATTCCACGGTGACTTTGTCAATGGCTGGGATGTACCAACTTTACAAAAAGCTGTCAATGAATGCACCGATGAAAGTGGAGTCATAGAAAAATGTCCCGTCTTCAAACTCACAACCAACGAGGTAGCAAATGGTTGCCGAATTCCTCCATCAGTTCATGAACAAATTTCGGGTGTTTTGCCTAAGCTTCCTGGTTGCAATGAAGTTCAAAGCGGTCCTGGAAATGCCAGTCCACAAAGCGGATGCGGTGCTACCACCACGATTGGTACACCAATGTGGCCTTATACTGATGTTACGAAATCGAAGAGTTTCGCATATATGGGATGTGGCTTTGATACGCCAGGTCAACCTCGAACCCTCCAAGGAGATTCACTTCAAGATATTACAGGCATGACGATTGAAAAATGTATCGATTACTGCAACAGCAAAGGTTTTAGTATCGCCGGTTTGGAATATTCTACCCAGTGCTTCTGCGATAATAAAATGCTTGCTGGTAGAGATCCGGTTCCTGGTCTTATGGGAGGCTGTACAATGCCTTGCTCTGGCAACGATAAACAAATTTGTGGAGACGCTGGTTTACTTTCACTTTATAAGAAGTGTCCAAATTCCAATAATTGCGCCAATATTCAGTAAGTTTACGTTTGAAATCTACCAAAGCTTCTTGCTAATCAGATACTTCAGATATCCAGTCAATACTGGACCCAAGAAGCGCAAGTCTGAAGAAAGACGCGAGAGACGTCAAAAACGCGATAGCGAGTATGTTTGCCCTTCAAACAGTGTGCTGGCTTCTTCATCTCATACCTCTGTTTCCCCTTCTGGTTCTGGTTCTGGTTCTCCTGTCTCTCCTTCCTTCTCCTCCTCCTTCTCTTCTTCTTTTTCTTCTTTTTCTTCTTCTTTTTCTTCTTTTTCTTCTTCTTTTTCTTCTTTTTTTTCTTCTTCTTCTTCTTTTTCTTCTTCTTCTTCTTCTTCTTCTGCATTTTTATCTACTCACTCACCTGCGTCTTCAACATCGCCAAAATCAACACCAGCAGTATCAAATTTGGGCAATTCAATGCTATCATCCCCAACTAACCATTCTCCAGCCTCAACCAAAGCATCTAGTGTATCAACAGCGGATCCCGTAGGACCTTCTGTCAAACCTCTAGCCTCAACCCAAGCATCTAGTGCATCGACAGCGGATCCTGTAGGACCCTCTGGTAGACCTCCTGTTGGATCAAACCTCAAGTCTTGCGACAAAGAAACTAAAGCTTCATCTCTTTCTCCTGCTTCTGGAATCAAAGTCGCCACTGTCATTACCACAACTACGACTTTCACAACCGTGACCGCAACAGCTTAGTCCTTCGATTTCTTCACACGCAGATACCTGTCTTTACTCTAGAAGGAGTTGTCTACAACCCAAAGCCAGATTCAGTCTCTCTCAGAATGGCATCGATTTTCATTCGTGTAAAAACTTCTTTCCTTACTTAGTCATTACATTTCTGTCTCTCTCCCTCTCTCTCTCTTTTTACTTTACCTGCTGGCGTAGATAATTTCTCTGGAAGGAAGAATCTACTGTACTGGGAATACGACATGATGATATGAGTATTCTCGCACAGGAGGACGAAGTTGGGATTTACTTTCTGGGGTTGCAGTTGTGCGTTTAGATTTGAGTCTTAGATTATTTTCTTTGAAAACTTTCTCTAGGAATAAAAAATCTGAGTACCATTGTTTTCTTTATGATTGGTGATGGATTGGTTCCCAAATGGCGAAATAAAAAGCTTGGTGATGAGTAGGGAGATCATGACTCTGCGTACATTTGACATAATTGGATTTTTTATTTATTCAAATACGTTTGTATCTACGCAAACTACGCTCACGAAGCCCCCCTCCTTATAGGTAAACCACAGCATCGCAAGTGATACAAGCAACCACGTCCAATCTACAAACTCTTTTCCACCTCCTCCAACTCCCCAATAACTCCCCTCCACTTCTCCCACTCCGCATCTCCTCCAGGGATGCCCCCTATAAGAGGTAATCTCGTTCCATCTTTCTCTCCCATTCCCAGTATCCTAGATACGCATTCTTTAATACCCACCGTCCCATACTTCACCACAATCTCCTCCACACCACTCAACTTCCACTGCAACAACCCTCTCTCCTTCTTCTCTTCCGCCGTAACATTATCCTTAACGCTCAATTCATAAAGTCTAACCACACTCTTGGGGAAGAAACCAGCACTACCATCAATAGTTCCCTTACATCCAATACTCATCACCGGCAACAATTGTTGACCCAATCCAGTAAAAGTATAGAAATGTGAATGGTCGATATGAGGAGAAAGTGCTATTTGCGCATGATATGAAATATCCCCGTGAGAGAGTTTGCAACCAACGATATTGGGGTGTGCAGCGAGTGTGGTAAAGGTTTGAGGAGTAACGCGCACAGAGTTCGAGACGCCGGGATAATGGTATATCATTACTGGGATGGGACTTTGGTCTGCGACTGCTTTGAACCACTATTTTGTGCGAAGACTTGATTAGTAATTTGTTCATCTGAGTATAGTTCCCGCCGTGATTAATTCTCCATCATTCTCAAATAGCAAAAAGAAACTCACCTCAATAATTCCCTCCTGTGTACTAGCCCCCGAAAAATACCCCGGTGCAAGCACCAATCCCCATCCACTCCCCGCCTTCTTCGCCTCGCCCAATTGTTCCACCACCTCCTGAATATTCTGACTCGCTGTCCCGGCAATAATCCCTACCTCTCCAAATCCCTCTTTATCCAACGCATCTCTGCATCCTTTCAAAACCGTATATCTCTCTGCATTCGAAAGATGTACGGCTTCCCCCGTACTACCCAAAACGACCAATCCTTTAATGCCCGAACGAGCAAGGTGGATGGAATGCGCAGCTTGGGTTTCGGTATCTAGGGGCGAAGCGATTGAAGAGTAGGAGGGAGAAGAGCGGGGGAGAAAGAATGTAGGAACGGGGACGTAGACGCCGGGGGGTGGAGGTTGTGACATTTTGGATTGGGGTATTTGAATTCTGGGATTGAGAGCAGAAGATGAGAGTTCAAGAAGATAATTTGGAGATCTCGAGTAGGAAACGTATGTTTTTATTGATCTGGTTGAATGTCGCAATCACTCCCGAGGTCCTCAAGGTATATTTATTCGGGGTATTAATGAACGAGGACCCCACTAGGGATTTATTGACCCGAAGCGAGCTATGGCGGGGTAAAAATTTACGAGACTAGACCATCGGCGGCGTCGATTAGTATTTGGATAAATGAAGTGGAAATGAAACTGACACGGGGTCATTTAATGTGGACAGAATGGAGCGTTTTTGAGGTTCGAAATGTGAGCAGAAATTTGGAACAAGAAGGTGGATACGATACATTCATTGCACAACCCCCCTTCATAGATTTTGTGAAGACAACGGATCGTTAAATATCGCTGTTCCTAAAATATCTAGACTTATTTGGAAGAATCAAAATACAACAGTCCCAACTATGGAATGATATTCGCTTGCTTAGTTAGACCTTTACTCCTGATGCTACCTTTTGCTTCATCCTTTCTGAGATTCAGCCCATCTTTCATAGCTCTCCTCCAATTTTATACGCTTTGATTGCTGTACCACTCCAAATCATAATTTGATTCTCCTTACTCAAACTAGCCAAGTAGCAAAACCTCATGACCACATCTCTCCATTTTCCCCAAGCATCCTCAACCCCAATCGTGCAAACTGGCCAGTCAGATCCAAACATTGTTCTGAAAGGACCAAATGTAGCAAGAACCACTGCTAAATATGGCTGTAGTGCCATGACGATTTCATCTACAGGGGCTTTCTTCAGAGAATCCGGCATTTCTGAGAAACATCCGCTGAGCTTCATATATGTATTGCTGTATTTGCTGAGTTTGAACATGGTGGTGCGCCAGGCAAGGAAAGAGGGATCTGTTTGAGTGTTATAGATCGAGAAGTCGGGTTTGCAGAGGTGATCTGTTTAAGGAATAATGTTAGCATTGCTCGAATATCGTAGCACAAAATTCAAATAACCAAACTCACTTATAATGACCGTAACTTTTTCTCCTTCCTCAACTCCCTCGTGAGCCTTCTCCATCATCTCGACTGCCTCCTCTAATTGCCATCTTCCACCTGAATGTAAATCGACCCCTAAGTCAAACACAAACCCCTTCTTTCCAAGCCACTTTAATCCCTCTATAAATCCTTCGGTAAGCATCGTCCCCTTCTCCTTATCCTGTACCAAATATCTAAATCCCTTCACCAACCCCCAACTCCCTTCTGCCTCCCTCTCAACCTCCTTTACATATCTCTCCAACGCCTTCTCTCCACTCGGCACAGGCGCCCATGGTATAATCGCTTTACAAAGCTTTGCATGTTCCGCAGTGTGTCCTTCTCCTTCACGAGGTTGACCTAATGCTATTCGTTTAAGCCAAGAAACTTCTTTAAGTGGCATTTCCCATCCCGAGCCATCTTCTTCCCCGCGTTTCAGATCATTCTTGCGGTCTGTCTCGAGAAAAATGAAACCTTCAAGTGCAGGAGCAGAAGACGTAGCAGCTGTGTATTCATCAAGAGACTGTTGTTTGTATAAAGGATTTGAAGGAGTATTCCAGGCAAGGGTATCGAGCTCGCTTTCGGGGAAGAGGTGGATGTGGGAGTCGATAATTGGATATGAGATCGAGGGGGTAGAAGAATCGGAATCCATTATATTGTTCGTGTACAACTTCTGTATTGATTTTGCCTTGGTTCAAGTGGACAATAGTAGAATCGATTATGAGGCAGATGGTAAGAAATTCAGCGGTATGTTTAGGGGTTGGAGAAGATCATTAATGAACCATGCAGCATGTAGCATAAAGCGAAGATAATAAAACCCCACACTATTGATTAAGAGGTAGTAGGTAGGCAGATAGGTACACTTACATACTCACTTACCGCAAGATTGAGGATTTATCTCTTTACCTTACGATTCTATTTCATATTTATGGCTCTTGTGATATATAATCCTCGAGTTAAGTAGCTCTTGCTGATGAAGGTTGTTCAGGAGCAAGACATCAATTTGCTTGAGCAAAAATTCAGGGTCATTATTAGCGTCGTTTCCCCATTTCTCCAGTCTATCAAGCCCCTAATTCAACACCAACACATGACGAACGATATGATTCTCACACCAAACTCAAAGTTCTCATAATTCCGGTTCAGAGTTGACATCCCAATGCTTTTCAATGTCTCAATTTAAATTTGACGATCAAATGGTCCTTCAGATTTAGTTTCTTAGGATTTCACTTTTTGATGGGCAGGCTATTCCGTTGATGCCGTGACTTTGGGCATCAAATTGAGCCTCTCAAACACTCTCCACGAAAAGAGCCTTTCTATCCCATCTTTACATTGATACCTGCGAGTAGTCTCTCATATGGTCTTCCATGAATCTTGATTTCATATATTTCAGCTTGTAAAATACCGCTTGCATGCACATTCGCAGTTCCTATGGCAATTTAAACGGATGGCCCTGCAAATGAAATCCCGTCAAGATGATGGGATGTGAAATCATCATCGAGGTCCCCGAGATAAGTGGCATGTCAGTGGTTATTGATGCATGTTGGTAGATGATGTACGAATTGCATTTTACGATGGGGCTTAATATTGATTGATATCCTTTGACTGGTGTCATAAAAGATTACTCCACTGAGGTCCATCCTTATGATCACCGACCGACCCTCATTCATCCACTGCCTCATTACCTTCACACACGACAAATTGATGGGTATCAAGAGATAGCTTAAGCAGCTTGATCGCCTGTCGGCGAGCAATCCTCTCTTGTATCTGTAGACGAGGCCAAATGGCGGCTACCACAGGAAATGTTATGGCTGCTGGGACTGGCCCAAAGCCGTTTGTCACATGCCGTTGTTGCTAGATAGCAACAGCATTCAAAATCTTCCCCATGGTAAATATACTGGGTTGAGGAGATCTAGAAGCGTTTTTCGACTTTGTAAGTAGAATTTATATTCAAGCAGCACAAGAAACAATAAAGATCTGCCGAATTGAGAATCCTCTGATTACCTAACCAGCACCTCCTGCCGTACCAGTATCTCTTTGCAATAATGCTTTATCACATATCTGTCTTTCTATTTATCATCATTTCTCCTGCTTATGGTTTCCTTCTGCTTCGTAACCTCTGGCGTTATGACTCTTCGGATCGACAGTGGACTCGCGGCAAAGTCGTAAGACGTTCGTCAGCTTTCATGATTCCTTTCCTTCATCCCCACCTCCACCTCCACCTTTAACTCATACCACCGCTATTGCCATTCACAAAAAGGCTTTATGCTATAAGTTGAAAAGCTTTACATTATTGTGAGAAAGTGAAATTCTAGTTAATTCCATTCTTCTTTACTAGTATACCTACTGGGGGATGGTATTGGATGAACATTGTCACAGACTTTATATACATATATACAAGAGCCTCTACAAACCTTTTGAATGAAAGTGTTGTTGTGCCGTGATGGCAAAATTCGTACACAAATTTTGTTTCGAAATGAGATATGGTGAAGTTTTGATAATTTACAAGGTTCACTGTGCTGTAATAAAAATGAATGAACATTATTCTGGTCACTAGTAGTAATATGGTTCAGGAATAAACAGAAAGTAGATTATGTATGCTAGTATGTAGAAACGGTAGCAACAGAGGAGTACGCTAATCCCAATCATATCCCACAACCAAATCTGTACATTCAGAGAAGAGATCGAGTCATCCAGGAAAACATTTCCTCCCATCTATGCTTTCCTTCGCAACGCCTTCCCAGTCAAGAAACCCCGTGGTACTTGCCCCAAAACCAATGACCACCTATCGACACCGAAACATGATCGTTATCGAATATTGCATAGCGTATTACTTCTGGTTAGAATTGGATGCAACAAGTGCCGCTCTATCGAGGTTGGGTGCAGTGATTGCAGGGCTTTCGAAGCAGGATCTCAAAAACAATGCCTATTCATCAAATATATCAGTATGAAAATCCAATTTTGATGAAATATAAATGAAACCATCTATGCTCACATAGAACCCGATCCAGACATGAATCCATACACCTTGTGTAAAACAAGACAAACGGTGGACGTCGACCTCTTCGACATCTGGATAAAGCATCAGAACACACGCCTCAAGCATGAACATAAGCACGAATGCCCAGTGCACCAAGAAAACGGTAACAGAGGTATTCGTGGTGGGTCTTCGTTCTCATTGGGAAAATGAAGTATGAGAGGACCAGCTATTTCTAGAAGGTGGGTCATAAAAAGACTCTGAATAAAGATTGTTCTTCCGCAAGATGTTGCCCAAAGGAAACGTACGGCGAATTTTACGAACTCGTTGACTAATTGTCTCAACAGGTGGAAAAACATCTGGATATCGGCAAGAGATTGAGGATCTGCAATGGTGTAGTAGGCGAAGATGCATACTCCCGAGAAGAGAACAGCTGTGGGGAATCTCATGATGCATTCCATGATGACTTATTCAGGTGGTTAAGACTGGTAATTTTATTGTTTATAAGCTTTGCTGAATTCTCTCGGGTTTTCGAAAAGCTGGATGTGGGATGTGGGATGTGGGATTCTGAATAGACAAGCTGATGGATGTTAACGAAACCATAAGCAAGTAATAATTTCTTCCTATATAGAAAGAAGGGTACTGTCAGGTTGATAACCGAAAATGTTTTATGTTTATTACGCTCCCTTTATTCACTCTGCCCTTTTCAAAAACAACTCTTCATTACCTAGTTAGTATCTTTGACAATGGGTTGGCTCGTCAAGGGTTTCAACACTGATATTTTGCTTTGCTTCTTTCATAGTTCTTCAGGTAATAATATTTGATACCTTTGATTCATTCATATTAGCAGATTACTCCCGTTAACAAGCCGAGTACTTACGCTTACGAGAGGCTTAGTTTAACTGTACTGTTAGTATTCACGCGAAAATACCTACCTACTTGACTGTATATGTACGCTGGATCACCTCATACTCATTACATCAATTCAACTCACCATTAAGCGTGAATTAAATGGAATGATTGATGAATCTATTGATACTTATCACATGGATACTTCCATAATCATCAGAGAAGCCCTACTTCATACACTTGATTGTTTGAAACTAGAGATCTAGATTTATAAAATTAAAGATTTCGGCAATAAAACTCTTGCTATATACTAGGTACAGTATAAAAGGACACTATAACCTCAGAGAAAATGAGGCTCGTTCGGTTCTAGGCGGACTCGAGTCTTGGATGCCAGCTAGCTAGGTACTGATATTTAGGAAAGATAAAACGAATCAGAACTTTGAAAGATGTAGATAAATCATGAGAACCACGAAATAAGGTTGATCTTGAGCTTAAATTATAAAGTTCTTGACGGCCGATTCTCGATGGATACCTACTATCCCACCACTAAACCGCGCATTTTCCGCTGGCCACTCTATACGAAGATTTTGTTGAGTGTTATTGGTTAACTTTATATCTATCCAGGGAGGCAACTAAGAGGCTTTCCCTGATACTTACAATGCCTTCTCCATTAAAAGATTGGAACAAACCATTGGCACGCGGGTGGGTGCACAGATTGGTAGGACACTCTCCATCATTCAAAATTGCAGGAGATTCATTTTGTGATTGTTTTATGTCAGGATCTATCACTTGATTATTTGGTCTAGGATCATTCATCAGATAGAATTTTGAAGAGTCTGAATTGTTATTTTAGGAGATATTGTTGAGTCAATTTTCGCAATGTCAGATCAAACCACACACCGACTGGTGATATGGGCCCCCGAGAAAGAAACTTTTACTTTACCCATCTACAAGATACCGCTCTCTAACGATATTCTCAGGGCTGTTTTTGGACAAGAAATAGAGGTGGCATGGGCTAGGTAAATTTTGGGTATTTGGGGATTGGCATTTCTATTTTTCTATCCATCGCCACCATCAGATGCACTCACATGCAACATGAGACTCTCTGAATACACTTTCATCCAAGATAACCTCCAGGCCAGATGCCAGAGCCCAGTGAGAGGCTAATAGAGAGTTCAAAGAGCCAGGATAGGATGAAGAGCTGCACACACGATGCATATTATGAATTGGGGGATCCCACCGTTTTGGTTCCACCGAAGTTGACAAAATCACCTGACTGTGGCTGCTAAACAAGGGCTGCGCTATATACGTCTGCAGTGTCCAGTTTTCAGCTCGGGATTTTTGAGTGATAACTAAAGACACTCAAGACACTATAGTGATGATCAAGCCTTTCTGAGATGATTGAAATGGCGGGACAAGCTGAAAATTTCGCGGAAATAGATGAAAATGGGGACTGATTCAAATGCTGCTTTGAAGATGATAGAAGCGAGAGTGCTGTTTACGCCAAGTTAGACAGATTGATATGTGTAAGCTTGGAATTACAGAGAACAATATTAATAACTTTTACTTCAGGTAATTTTGTCCAGAACATGGTGAACAGGAAAAGAAGTGTCTGAAGAAAGGCAAATACTGTGAGCGAAGAGACTATCTGATCACGTGGTCTTCTATTGCTTCTGTCGTTAAGGGGGCATTTGTATTCATGTTCCGCTTTCCTGTTTGATCAATGTGTTTGTTACGTGTGAGCTTTCAGCCTTTCCTCCCTTATCTCAAAGACGCTACACGTCTCTTTGTTTTGCCTGCTCTATGTAGTCTTTTAGGCCCTGTGCGGTATGCGAAGGATTGCCCTACAACCTCTACCACTGTCTGACCGCCTAAAACATACACTCATTAATCATTTAGACTCATATTACCGGGCCATACTAAGAATCCGTGAAAATCAGTGGTTTGTTTCAGGGAATAGTATAGGTTCTTGAGATGTTTCAAGATGGTAATTTCCATACGTCCAAATTATAGCAAGAACAGTGTGGGGATGTTGCAGCTCTGCACTTGAAACAAACAAACTCAGACGAAGTCGTCAAATCAAGTGACGACGGCGTTCTGAACATCCAGATCAGCTATTATCAACAGCCTGCCATCCAGAGTAGCTAAATTGTGTCATTTGAATAGGTTTTTGGACTCCGTCCGCTAATACTTCAAAGCATCATACCCTCAATTGCATAACTAGACCATAGGAATTGAGACATGCCCGTTGCCCATATGGACTCGGTGATCCGTGCCGTGCTCGGATTTCCCAATTCATCAAGAGGGAGAGTCTTGCACGCGCACGGAATGTGGAGTACCCCGGATCATCTCGATCATTGACTTTTCCTTCTTGGTCTTTAGCTCAAGGAGATCCATCAAAGAGTAGGTACATTTATCACTAGTACAAGTTCCCCTGGAGACCAACATACCTTCACTAAAGGCAGGTGTGCATCCAGCAGTCTTATTGAAGCAACCCGAATCTATGACACCAATCTTCCCAAATGAATTTAGAGTTTGCCGACTTTGCCGAGTGTAGATATCATCGCATTTCATCTCAACTTGGAAGGAAATGAGACTGTTCTTCAAAATTTATCAGTCCCGCAATAGCCCACCGGAACACTGCGAGAGGTAAAAACCTGGGAATGTTTAGTTGATACAAGGATGCTTCAAAATTTGCATTACATTTCAATACTGACTCGTATTTTCCAGCTCCACTGATTTTTCTGCAAGTCGCCGTGTCAGGTAATTGATTTCATGGGTTTGAGGGTTTCCCCAGATAATTTCATCCTGGCCGGTTGGAAATTTGTGGAGAAGTTTGGAGAGGAAAATTGAAAAGTAATCACAACTGCTGAACTTTCCTAAGTTGAAATTCAAGAGAACGTGTTGTTTGTCAGTAGATGAATTCTCAGGCACTTGCCGTAAACCGAACGGAGAATAGTGGCTCCTCGGCAGTCCATTGGTCGTTTTCCTTGAATTCACGCAGCTTCAGTTGTTTTCGTTTGACATCGAACTGACGTAGTTTTTGCGTTATTTCGTTGTTCCGTCGTCACCTAGGATTCCCCTGATGGATGCATGTTAACAAAAATAGGTGACACGGAAAGCTGACAACAACTGACACCCTTTTTAGCATCAATATGTGCATGTGAAATTCGAATACCTACGTGAGCACGAAGTACATGCGGAAAGACCCATTTTTCCCTGAGAGTCATGATTGTTTGAATACTCATCATGCATGATGATGCTGCTGATATTGAAATGTTGACAAGTACCTCTTTTGAAATTTCAAATGCATATGCAATGTAGGTTCTGGGTATGTTGGGTCCTCAAAAGCCCGCTTTCTTCCCATGATGTCTCAACGTGGGAGTGAGTTGGTGGGCCAAAAAGCACGTTCACATGTCAAACCATGGAGTAGAGTTTCAAAAAACAATGGGGAGGGGGGAATGTGAGAGAAAGTGTTCATAAACAAGAAAAGAAAGCAACTTGCTTGTGTAACTCGTGAAAACATAAACCGCAACAACTTTCGATAATTCATCTACAGATGCTTCCTTGGCAAAATGCAACTAATCAAAAGATCCTCAGGGAACGGCGTTGTTTTTCGGCCAAATTTTGATAGTTAGGAAACGGTGTCGAATAGTTCATTCGGATTGGAGGATTTCTTACAAATGTGAGAAATATATGTGATTTGAAGGAATTCCTTATCAATGAACTTAATCGATACGATGGCGCTCTGTACACTGGGGCTATTTCGTCCCTTTTCACTGGCCAAATAGGCGAGTGCGTATGTAAGCGCTTACCGATGAAGTTTAGCTTGAGGCTGGCGAAATGTTGGTTGGTTGAATAGATGGAAAATACTTTTCTTTCCGTATCCACTTCCCTTGCAAGAACGCAAGAACGTAAGAGAGCATTGAAAACAATGATTGAGTCTGAGAATATGGCTTTCACGGACAAATCCCATGGTAAGGAAAGGACGAGTCACGACTTTGAACACGTTCTTCCTTTTGCGTACAGAGTACATTCTTTAGGACTCTCTACTCTGTAACACAAAGTTTCATTACCGCCTACTCATTCTACCTAAACGAAGGGCGTATCGATGCTCCTCCCGAAGGATTCATCAAAAGAGATTATAGATCTGTTTTAATAGCGCCAATCGATCTGATAAAGATACACATTTCCTGTAGCGGCAATCGATTGGATCTTTCTTTCCCCCCCCCCCAAAAACTCAATATGCTCAACCGCCACGAAGCACAAAGTGATTTCAACTAACGATTCATGACCGATGATGCAAGCATCTCGGCCTCATACATGGACAATGGCTGTGTTAGGTAGGTGGCCGTGCAAATGAATTGTCTCCACCGTCGTTCGTTGCCTTCAAAGCCTTGGAAATCGGTACATACGAAGCTACAAAGTAGAGTGGATTGTCTGAATGGCATCAATTTCCCTGCAATTAGAAACGACTTGATAATGATTGTTGCCTCGGGTAGAGAATCGAGATTGAATCTGACTGTGCAGTACACGAAGTACGCTCTCATCGGCCCAAATTACACAGCAAGTTCTTCCTTTCTCGATTCTTTTACGTGGTTAAGTGGAACTCTGAAGGGGCCTAGACAGAATAATGTTATCTCCCCACCCCCTCCATCTCCATCCATCCCACCATGGGCCATGCTCGAGCCATGGCACCACCATCCCACCCAAGTTCCCAACTCATACTTTCCACGCCTTCCAGAATTGGGTTTAGTGGAACTATGTATGCACAACTGCGTCATAATTATTACCCTAGATCCAAGACTTTTTCCTTATCAGCAGAATATGTTGATGAAACGTATTCGGGTTTGCTCTTAACCAAACAAGTTAACAACATCAACAATCAAGCATTCAAAGTTTCGGTCCATGTAACAATCGACGGTAAAAGTCGGAGACAATTTCACAAGGATATTAAGGCAAATGCCAATGCAAATGCAATTCTGTACAAGACCACCGAGCCGATCCCTCTAGGACGGGAACCGGTTGATTTGAACGAGATGAAAAAAATACCCATAGCCACCCGAGCACCCCAAGCAATACCATTGTGCTTTACCATTCGACAACACCAGATATAGACAGGGTCTACAGCAGTGGGGGCGAACCTTGCGTACCATAATAGTTGGGGGATCCACATAATGAAATCCCGATCGATATTGACCAGGTAACAAGCATGAAGGCAGGCACGATGAAGCAAGATGTAGCTCGATGTCATACTAACAAAAAGCGGTTTCAGCAATTCACCGTCATGTTCAGCTTTTCCCCATGATGAAGTTGATAGTCATCATCATTGAAGAGATATTCAAGGCTAAAAGATACTCCACTTAGTCTAAGGCCCGAACATACTTAGAGAGTAGTTTCCTCTCTAGTCCAGAGACGGATCTACTTTATTTGAATCAAGACATTTGCCTTTCTGCTTCTTTAAAACTAACAGATTCCTCCCCTCTTAAATTTGGATGATCTCTATCAACTTATCTCTCAACTTGTTTTTGTCTATATTCTTGATATATCTTGTCTAGGATCGTTCAATTCTCCGGTCACATCAACCGTTTAACACTTCAAGGTGTATGATTATTGAATAAGATTTAAGCGCATCTTACCTGACAATCATAACCTCTTCTGGTCAAACGTTTCAGGCCAGCAGAACATATTCGACCCACAGATTCATTGCTCCTACGCAAATAAGAGAAGCGCGCGCAGTTAACCGCAGTTTCTTGATCCAAACAACAAACGGGCGAAGCAGTTCCCGTTACCCGAAAGTCAATCGCTGACTGTTCCTGCCAACTTACTACAATTTTGTACTACGCTCATAACTACTTAAAATGGCGCCTTCATCCACCCTCAAACCTTCTGCAGCTGCCAGACCCAGACCTGGAATTCGCAGACTTTCAAGTATGACTACCAACGCAGTAGAAGTTTCAACCGGCGGACCGGTCGTCGTTGTCCCAGAAAGATTAATGAGAGAACCTTTATCTAGAGGAACTTCATACCAAGGTGGAAACTTTGCAGCTTCATTGGAAAATGCCAGAAACGAACTCAGTGCTATGAACCTTGAGGAAGAGGAATCTTCGTCGAGTTCCCCAGACTCACCGGCAACTCCACTCACCCCTGCCGATGTCCCCACCACTGATTCATTTGCTTACGCCTTTGATATCGATGGTGTTCTCATTCGTGGTGGTAAACCAATTCCAGAAGCTATTGAAGCTATGAGAATGTTGAATGGAGAGAACGAATATGGTATTAGAATGTATGTTGCTTCCAACAAATAATGTGAAGAGCTCCTTGCTGACACGTCCCTAGTCCATACATATTCTTGACAAATGGAGGTGGAAAGACTGAAGCAGAAAGATGTATTGATCTTTCAAGACAACTGGACATTGAAGTGTCACCTTCACAGTTCATTTGCGGTACGTACCCATACCCCATGCTGAAATCCTCCGTTTGAAGGATTCATCGAAATGTACTTGCAACTCAAATACTAATTCTCTCCAGGTCATACTCCTATGAGAGAAATGGTTGAAAAATACGAAACTGTTCTTGTAATTGGAGGTGAGGGTGAAAAATGCAGGCAAGTCGCCGAAGGTTACGGATTCCGTGATGTCATCACTCCAGGCGATATCATTAAAGACAACGAACATACCACTCCATTCCGCAAACTCACGACCGAAGAATTGAAAAATTCACGTGGTGGTCGTGATTATAGCAAAACTAAAATCGAAGCCATATTTGTCTTCGCCGATAGTCGTGATTGGGCTAGCGATGTTCAAATTATGCTCGATCTTGCCATGTCCAAAGGAGGATACATTGGTACCCTTTCCGAAACTTTCGATGAGGGACCACCAATCTACTTCTCCCACAGCGATATTGTCTGGTCAGCTGCTCACGAAAATGTTCGTCTCGGTATGGGCGCTTTACGAAAAATGACCGAAATGCTTTTCAGAGACCTCACCAAGGGTAAAGAGCTAGAGACCATCGCTTTCGGAAAGCCTCAAATTGGAACCTTTGAATTTGCTACCAGGTTGTTACAGCAATGGCGCAAGGACGAACATCGCTGCAACCGTCCTCCCGAGACTGTTTACTTCGTCGGCGACACTCCAGAGTCCGATATCAGAGGTACTAATCAATTCAACGAGAGGTCTAAGAATGATTGGTATTCGATCTTAGTACGAACTGGAGTGTACCAAGAAGGAACTGAGCCAGCATACAAACCTAGAGTGACCGTGGATACCGTACTGGATGCGGTCAAACATGGAATCGAAAGGGAGTTCAAAAAGAAGATGAAGGAGAACAACCCACGAGGATTGCCGCTCAATAGCTTGGGTGGATTGAGCCTCGATGGAAAACCAACGATGGGAGGCATACCACCCAAGATTTTGGAGGTTTCCAGTCAGGGTGTTAGCGAGACAGCCACTCCTGAGGCTACCGATTGATAAATTGCATTCATTGCCAGCGATTGATCTATTCCTACATTCATTATGCAAAAAAAAGTCTTCTTGGGTTATTTCTAACGGTGTTATGATGGAACATAATATTATGATGGATGGATTAAATGGGTATTGGATTGATGGAGTCTTGGACCAACTGGGCAGGGCGTTCAATGAGACCACAATATCCTGAAAGCGATACATAAGTTTTCCTTGGAGAATTGCGAAAACGAAATATATAAATAAGGGGTGGATGAAAGATGGGTAGAAATGATAGAATTTCGATCAACAGTGAGATCAGTTAATTGAATACCATTATTCTTACAAAGTCCATTGCTCTGATCCAGTGTCGAATGTTCATTTAATTTAATCGAGTTCCAATGTGAAATATATAGGTACAAAAGCTTCTCACATTCTTGCTCCAAAGCAAGATGAAAGTTCATCAAGGAGAATGGATAATGTAGAAGTGGAAACTCACGCAGAGTGCCAAGAGAACCATTCAATCATGAACGAAGAGGTTATGAAATAACCCACTTCGAGCTACCAGTAAAACGATAGGTGATTGATTAGTGTCAATCTATCTAATACTTTGAGTTGAGGCCAAGGGCTTGTTACGCTATACTGAGACTCCACGGATGGACTAGCGCTAATGAAAGCCTTATCACAAACTAAAAGCCAGCCACCAGAAAGAAAACCAGCTCGCCGAAACCAACCCAAATCTTTCATAGCTCATTCTTAATCAAATCCGCACATTTCTCTGCCACCATGACAGCAGGTGCTTGCAAGTGTCCCGATACAATTTGCGGGAAAATACTCGTATCGCAAACTCTTAAGCCTTTCACACCATAGACTTTTAATTCGTCATCTACCACTCCTGGAGCTTTAGGATCATGCTCGGGTGCCATTCTACATGTAGATGCATAGTGAAATGTTGTTCTTATTCGGCGACGGATGAACTTATCCATCTCCTCTGTAGTATTGCTTTTAACATCAAGTTCTTGTTTTTCGGCAGGAAAGGTAATATTTCGAAGAAGAGGGAACCCAGACTCTTTCATTCTATCTGCGATGGAAAGTGTGAGTCGTACTGCGCTGCGAGCAATGGTATAATCCGAGGGATCGGACAAGATTCCAAAATAAACTTTCGGCTTGTCGTGTGGATTTGACGATGCCAAGCGGACCGTTCCATTGGATTTTGGCTGAAGAATCGTGGCCAGAACACAAAATATGGGTGTTTTAGAGAATATGTTTATGAATTCCAGCTCGTCAAAGTTATCCATACCACTTGTGGAAAGTGGCATGAGTTCAATGTCGGGGATGAGGCTTTGAGGATCAGAATATTTCGACGAAGCTTCTTTGACAAGTCCAGTACTATCCTCTTTGATCATTCGAGAGCGAACATAAAGAGCTAAGGTCTGAACGGGAATGCTGAAGAGGCCAACTTGGAAGAAGATATATTTAAAAAGCTCAAGTGCGATTTTCAGGGGGCTAGTTGCCATAGAAGTTAATGATTCGGCTGCCGGTACCTCCCAAGCGACTGGGATACTATGGTGGTCAGTCTGTGCCAGAGCAGGTTGGTTAGTAAATATACACTGTTGATGAGAATAAACCTAAGCATACTAATGTAGACCTGACCCCCGGTAGGTCATGCACCACTTTGATACCGTGTTCCTCTAAACTCTCACGAGGCCCAATACCACTACGCGATCAGCAAGTTAGTTCTCTCTCTCTTTCGCGTCTTTATTGCTTGTCTTTTTTCTCCATGCGCAGAAAATTTGGGGCAAAGAAGAAAACACACCTGAGCATAAGCACTTGCGGTGAGCCTATAGCACAATGACTTCTTTGTTGACCCTTACTGAATAAGTGCTTTCAGATTTTCGATCTGATGATTTAAAGAATATCTTTTCAGTACGCGGGAGCCCCTTTTCTTGTGTAAATACAATACTAGAGACGAGAGCATTGGTGCAAATCGTGAGGTTTCGTCTTTCCAGTGCAATCTTCTTGGGAAGAAACGCTTCAAAACTGGATACACGCTCCCTGCGCTTACTAAGAGTAAGAGAGAGTGTTGAGACTCCTTCCGGGGGAGCATCTGGCGCATTGCAATCTGGGACGGCAATGAATCCCATCGCTTTGGCACAATCAGTGAAACTACCGAAAGTCAGAAGTGAGATCATAATCAGAGGGGTTCAAAGAAAGCTAACGCTCGGTAGGCTTGGAATAGCCAGTTGAAGTAAGTGAAGGTTTGGGTGATCCATGGCCCTGTAGCATACATAGATCAGTATTAGAGGAGAACAATTGGTGTACTCGAGGTTACTAACCTGTGTTTCCATGATAAGTTGAATCCTGATAGTCAAGGGAGGTCTCGCTCTTAACAAAGTAAGGCAGCAATTTCTCATAGTTCCACTCAGAATAGCCTAAAGATGCCCATGCATCATAGTCGGCAGGAGTCCCGCGCGTATAAATCATACTATTAATTCTGGAAGTGCCGCCCAGAACTTCTCCGCGGATTACTCCGCTCCGACGATCATCACAATATTTCATGGGTTCGGATTTCCACCTCGTAGTACCAAAGGTTGGACGAGTCGGATCGGAAGAGATTAGAGGATTGCGGGATAGCCATGTGTCATTTGCAGAACCGCATTCGAGGACAAGAACGGATATTTCGGGATTTTCGCTCAATCGAGAAGCTAGTGTACACCCCGCGGTGCCACCTGAAATCACCACAGATGTTAGCTACGAGATCGATAGTGGATTGGGAAATTGATAAAATGGTAGAAAAGACGCACCTCCAACTATGACAAAATCATATGTTTTGGAATTAACCTGTGCCGGATGGCATTCTGGGTACTTTTTGCCTAATGGCCACCACATGCTGATGAGTGGAAAGAAATCGGAAATGCTGGAGATCTGCTATAAGGAATGCAAGAAGTTTACTTGGTGAAAAGGATAAGATTATTCACTTGTCAGTTATTGATGTAAAACAGATGCATAGGTAGGTTAAATACGACAACACAGCTACGTATCTCCTCCCAACAATTTCAAAAACATGTACGTATGGATAATGCAGAAGTGTGGCGATGTCGGTTATGCAAAATTGAGCTTTGATATTCAATATTTGTATTCAATACCTGGGTATTTGTAGGATGTGCAGATTGCGGCACTGCAAATTGCGGCACATGTTTTCCATGGCATGTTTGTTCCTTGTCTCTTCCAAAAATTGTCGTAGTCGAATAGGATATCGGGATAAATAACTCATCTTCTAGACAACATCATACCCATATAGCAAGTACCTAACAATCAGAAATAAACCCAATACCTAGATGTAGAAATGTGTGACATCGTAACCTATTTTACATCCATTATGTCATTCGAGAGCGAAATTAACCGAAATTTTTGAACATCGCAATATATCCGTGTCAAGTTTGATTATGCTGATGTATAATAAGAAATTTCATTTCCCTACCCACTTCCTCAGGGTGCATGAAATACCTCATTTGAAGCATTTTCATTTATCTTACAAGATACATTCCAAGAGTTGGTGCGAACTTACCTTACCGGACACGAAAACCAGCCCTCTTCTTATGTTCTACTTAATGGAAGGTGTCATGAATCTGCGGATGGTTTTTCTTACCCCTGTGCTTGCAACGATTCCTCTTATCACACCCGTAAGATTTGATAAATACAAATGATAGCCAAAACTAACAAGATAGCATTAGATGTGTTTGTTGGATCATAATGAAGGGACCTGAGTAACTCAGGATATAAACAAGTATATAGGTCCGTTGGCAAAGGAGAGGACAAAGGACAAAGCTATCCAGGGAACAACGAGTATGTATCTATAACGCATATTTACACATTGTGCTCATATTTGCTTGTAGACAGATTCGCGATAATTTATTACTGATTCATAATTGCAAGTACCCAGAATACTTGGAGCCTTTCCGTGAAGATATCTCTCGATCATACAAAGCATAGCATGATGCTGCAGAGCTTCTTTTTCTTGATAGCTTTCTACAGGAAACTACTCGGATGAAACCAATTGCCATCGGTATGTTCCACCCTCGAAACTTCCAGAGGTAGGTCTGCTATATTTTTTTGCTGATCTATAACCTAGCCAAGCGAAAAATCATGTCTCTCGTCTGTTAGAGTCGGTTCTGGAGGAACTTATCATGGCCCATGATATCAGACTCGCAGACGAGAATGTGCGAATTTCTTCCTCCTAGAGTATGTTGCCGGTTCCTCGCTCATGTCTACCTAGCTTTTCTTATGAAGAGGCGTCCTTTTCAGGTACCACGAAATAAATCGCTGCGATTTCACCATCAAAACTTTTCGCTCTCTGAATTAAATTACTTCCGGCAGCTGTATGAAAGCGAATGCTTAGAATGTAGCAAAATTATCTTGAGGCTTGCTGGTTTTCTTCGAATTATCTTCTGAAGAGGGAAAGATTTTAACACTGTTTGGAGACTATTGAAACATTGGCTAAGACCTGCCTGTATCTGCTCTCTTGAATGCCAGCATAATACTATAGCCCGCAGGATGTCCTATAAAGCCTTCCACTGGCTCTATCTTCGTCTCCGACACTATTACACTCTGAAATTCCTTGAAAACTGCTACAGTTACCGCTTTCATCACTACCTTTTTGTCAGAAAATTTTCTCAAGTCTCGGTATCAAGTTCCTTCACTTGAGGAAATTTCACTTACTACGAATAGCGAAATGGTTCCCAATACACATTCTTCCTCCACTACCAAAAGCCCAGTGCCATCGCAGCATTTGTTTCTTTGCTTCTGGGGACGCATCCAACCATCTATCTGGATTCCAATTTAAGGGGTCCGGGAAAACATCTGAGTTTCTGTGTAAAGTATATGCAGATGCACTGACAGTAACACCGCCCGGTACCGAATATTTTCCAATCATAGCGCCCTTTTCCGGAACTTGGCGAGTAAATGCTCCTAGACCAGCGGGATACAGTCGTAGTGTTTCCATAAGTATAGCATTTAGTAATGGTAACGAATCAATCTCTTGCGAAGGCGTTATGTTCAGATTCACAGAAAGTAGTTCTTTCTGAAGCCGCGAGGTGATAGATGTATGACGACCGAGCTCGGCCATCAAATAGCTTACAGTGATTGATAATCCTTCATGTGAGGCTGCGATATGGTCTAGCATTTCTGCAGCAACCACTTTGTCTAATTGATCCGCAGAAACGGTTTCCGAAGCCTCAAGCTTTTGGCGTAGTTGTCCATAGACGGTTGGATAACATTCTATCTCCTCAGCTTCTTCAGATTGAAGAGTATCTCGTGCTTTGTTGGCCATTGAGAGAATGAAATCTTCCATTGCTTGGGATGCAGAAGCTGTTCCTTTATTTAACGGACTCATGCCAAAACGAGCCATCCATTTCGTAAGATTGGGGACATCGAGTTTCCAGAATAGCCCGCCAAGACCTAGCTCAAAATTTCGTAGCATCGTTTTCTTGTCGGGATCTTCAACGAGATTCGAGGCGTTTTTGAGACCAAGTAAGTATGCACTCGTGAGATCCATGAACAGTGCTTTGTTTTCTTGAAATACATTCACTGGTATGCCTGTTTCCGCCCAAACATGCATCCGAGGAATAAATTTGTTATAGGCAATATTCCTCAAGATCTGTGTCAAGGATTCGGACGCCTGGATAAAAGAATTGGAATAGACATGAGACAACATGCGTTTGCGTTCAGTGTGTACTGGTGCCTCCTTCATAGAAAACAAAACGCTGTGACTGAACATGGAGACCAGTCAAAATAATATTCAAAAGTAAAGCATTAAGAGGAATAAGATTACATACCTATAGTTCAAGAACATCGAATACCATTCCCCTTTCTCGAATCCACCACCATAGACTGTTTTCACACCATCTTCAAGGCAATTGATACTCAATTCTCTTGGTGCAATTCTAATAACAGGACCGTACTTTTTGTGAGCAGCATATCGAGCTTTGTGCTCAGTGTCATTTGCTCGATGCCAAAATAACCATAACTTTGAATATGGCGTCGTGAAATGTGCATTGGGAATTTGAGATAAAGGCGAGAGGACAGCGGTTTGCAGATGCTTGATGAGCCATATACATGATGCTACCGATACAACTGTATAGGCTATGAGAGGTAGCATGATATATGTGTAACTTTTAGTTGAGCAATAATAAGTTGCTTAACTCACGATTCATAGAACCAAATAGGAAAATTGGGGATGGTGAGGGGTTTCAAGAACTATATGCTTCACAATAAACCTTGCATCTGGCAGCATTGCAGTAGCACTATTTTGCAGGTCTGCCGTTCAGGCACGTCGCTACGCTGGTTTTCATCAGTTGGCAAATCATAGATCTTGCGATCGATCATCCCGTTGTAGCGCAGCTGCATCCGTTGTAACACAGCTGTGAAATTATCGGTCATGATCCCCATGTTGGTGATTGATGCATAGTGAACTAATAAGAACTTCATTTGCCACGGGAGATCATGCTCAATGGAGGTATGAAGATCCGCGCTTTTCTTTTTTTTCCAAGATCGGATGGAGACGTCTTCAGCCACAATGCAGTTGTGTGTAATCATGAATCGCATATTTCGTGGCAGCCAATCAACGCCGTTATAAACCAAGCCGAGGTCACATTGTGGCATGATGGAGAGGGCCTCATTATACCCAAAAGTAATTTTTCATATTGGTGATCAATAATTAATTATTGGCTTTAGCTACAATTTCTATGTACAAAGTTTCCCAAAGTTTAGATTGTATAGATGAGTGGAGTTTTCGAGATAAAACCATCTAAATCATCCAACCAGGTTGAGTTCATTTAAATCCTCCAAGAACTTTGGTTATTCTAACTTATTCAAAATTTCTAACTCATTTGGATGATTGATTAAGATGAATGCACTAAGATATCTCAATCAAGCGTGCTTTTCAACATTGTCGCCCCTGTCTCCAGCCCTCATAGAGGAGGTAGCACTGTAATGATGATTGTTTTCCTGGGCCAAGTTCTCATATAATTTTGGCCTCTCAACATCCATTCTTAAGACATGTCGCCTGATAGGGTAAGTAAATTGACTCCATCCATATGCGGCGTGCTTTCTCGTAGGGACGTTGAAAACTTGGTCCAATTCTTCCAGTGTTTTATTTTTAGTCTCTGGGACGAAGAGGAGGGTAAGAAAGAAGCCAACAACGTTGAAACCGGCGTAGAAAGAGAAAGCGCCTTGGGCCTTGAATGCTCTCAGCATTGATGGCCATGTAATGGCGAGGACAAAGTTAAAGAACCAGGTGGTTGCAGTTGCCAAGGACATTCCTAGTGAACGAACATGGAGAGGATAGGCCTAAATGTTTGTCAGAGTTAGGTTATTTAGATACAACAAAGCAACTTCCTTACCTCTGCGGAGTATGTAAATGGAACAGGCCCGGCTCCCGGGCTGTAGGCCAAACAAAAGAGATAGATGCCTAGAGCTACGATGGCAATGCGAGTAGTTCCCTCGGGAATTAGGAAGCTCCAGCCGGTCATGAACAGAAAGGCTGACATAAGCGGGAAGGTAAACAGTAGAAGCCATCGTCGACCGAACTTGTCGATTGTCCAAACTGCAGGAAGCGCTCCGAGGAAGTTAAGCATGCCGAAACCCAAGGACGCACATAGAGCATTGACTTCCGAAAAGCCAGCGTCAACGAAAATTACGGATGAATAATAGGCAATCACGTTGATACCACAGAACTAGTATTTATGTTAGCTATTATATTCAACGTCTTTTTAATGCGAGGGGTCACGAAAATTGGAAGCGGGGAAAGAGATATGCATCTCCCCTTTTCATCACTATGAGCTAACCAATAATAACGTGTTTCAAACAATTGAAGCTGGGCATATAACCTACCTGCTGCATAAACATTGTGATCTCTGACGCAACCATTGCTCTTCTAATCCGAGGCACTGTGAACAATTGCTTGATATGATTTTGTCCAGAACCCATGTTATTCTCAGCTTCGAGAAGCATGTGCATCTGGAAGACATCACGTGCTGCCTGGACCTTGGTGTGTCTGATTCTGCACATTGCTTGATATGCTTCTTGGTGTCTCCCTTTACCCATGTACCAGCGAGGCGACTCAGGGCAATAGAAAACAAAGAAACAAACGAAGAGAGCAGGAACTCCGGCAGATCCCATCATCAGTCTCCAATTAAGTCCATGGATATTAGATGCGGTATCGGGAACATAGTAGAAGGCTAGATCAAATGCAAAGCCTAACATAATACCAAAAGCAGTAAATACTTGCCATTGCATTGCCATAGCGCCACGGATTGATGCTGGAGAGGTCTCACAGGCATATACGGGTACAGTGGCTGACCTATGTTACGTTAGCATCGATATCATAGATGGCTAGGAAGTGCCCTTGGTTTGCTGATATCATGAAAGACAAGACGGGTAACAATACATACTTTGCACCAATACCTATTCCGAGCATGAACCTAGTATCAAATATTAGAGATTGCCAACTTTTTTTTTAAGAAAATTTAGGGGGTTCTCTTAATACCTAGCAATAAACATGTGCCACCAGGTGTTGGTGAATGCCTGCCAGAAGCAGGTTAGTGCAGAGACCAAACAAGTGACGAAGATGGTGCCTCTACGCCCCCACTACGAAGAGTCAGCATTGCCTATCGAAGAATATTTTGGTGGGAAACGAGGATTAAAAAGAAAAGAACTGCACTTAGCAGTAAAAGGGGTGTATATGACTTACCCAATTGTTAAAAGGAACAGTCAGCCAGCAGCCAGCAATTGCACAACCGAGATATCTTTGAAAGTCTGAAGTTAGTGTTGACTCGGGTAGCTATAATAGGGACTAGAACCTCGAAGGGAACTTAGAAATTGAGTACGTACGGGGCACCATTTGTGATACCTAATAGCCATGGGTCTAAGGAACTGTTCTCATCATCAATTCCAAACAAACGGGCGTAGAATATTTGCGCTCCATTTACTACGCTCTCGTCTACTCCTTGAACGGCTGCGCAAACTGAACAAAGCAAAATTACTTTGATGAAAAGCGATGGCAGAGACCATTTACTTGTTCTTTCTTTTTCCAGATAATCTATCTCGGTCCTGGAAAGTTCGTTCCTGGCTCGAAAACTGCCTGAATCTTTTGCAAGTAATGCTCCGGCCTTGAATGCGGAAATATTGACAGAGTCATTGAGCCCATGTTTTCGAGCGTAAGCCTCGGCAAGCACTTCTAATTCGTTCTCATCATAGGATGCTAAAGGATCGTTTAAGGCTCTGTTTGTGGCTGCAAGACGTTCGGCGTCAGTTGCTCGCTCGAGATGTTGTGAAGAGGAAACCTTGTCTTCGGACTGCTCCTTTCGATCGAAGTTTGTAGTAGAAACCATAATGAAATGGGGGTTTTTGAAATACAACCGTGAAGAGAAGTAAAATAGAAGGAGAGGCAAGCTTCTTATTTATGGCGAGTACTCGAAGCATATACTAAGTCGTGCATAGTAAGCTATACTAGCTGCACGAGGATGACATCGAGAGAGACGATCGAATGATTTAGACTATAGACAACTTTCAAAGTCGGATGATTTGAGTTTAGTGATGGGGTTATTAGCTCAGTAGATTCTCCATAAGCAAGGAAGTGGATCACTATTTGAGAGAAAATTCGAACAACTAGTTCGCCTTGATATCATTTCCGCTTGGAAACTACTTAGTAGTTAGGTAGAAATATGGAAAACTAATTTGCTTATCAAATATGAATGCCGTGACTTCTTATTTGCTTGCTTAGGATGTGGATCGTTTTTGGCCAACTATGGAAATTAGTCCACCGTTCCACAGAAGATCTACAATTGTAGCTTGATAGCTTCACCTCTCAAGTTCCCACCGATGATCAGAGTTAAATGGCTAGTACGAATATTGGTTACTTCTGCCACCTTGGCAGGTTGAGCTGGATCATGAATGGGAATTCCTAGTATGTACATGAAATCATGCTCATTTCAATTCTCATTTCGTATGCCTAGCTACTGGCGAGGCTCCGTTGGAAAACCCAATTTGGAGAAGAATCTCTTTTTCGTCATAGTTCTACATGCAGGTGATGTTGAAAACGACCGTCTTATGTAAGCAATGAACCAATTCTTGGCCTAGCCTCGTCAACTACTCCGCGTTACATAAAAACGTCTACTAGACGGCTCCAGATCGTCCAGACCGTTAAACAAACGTTCAAGCTATACTAGGTAATGTATAATAAGTAATAATGTTCGGCACTAATTTACCCAAGTTTCTATCCTAATCAAAACGTTGGTAGTTTTGTCGACTAACCTTGTTGCCTTTTCCATGTCGATGTACTGCTTGGCGTGTCGCTCGCGCGTCATTGCTGCTAAGGTTATACTCCGTAGGAATTAGGCTAGATGCTGTCGTTCTGATGATCATGATGATCAGGATGAATGACAAATTGTGGTCAACGATTGAGATATGCAACAAAGTGTCTTGATTTAAGTACTTGGCTCATTGATAGGGCATACCTCGTCTTCTCACATGATCTAAACCCATGGGGTTGGAGCAAATGGACAGAAAATTGGCATTAATTGTTAGCCAATGGCCTCTGGAGGTTACATTTGCAAGATTTCGAGGTTCATTAAAGCTGGAATACCGAAGTCACATTGGAGCATTAATTTATTTCCAGCAAAGACCCACAAAGTCACCGCACATGGAGACAACCCACCGGTACAAGAAAGGATGGAAACCTTCCACTCAAAAACATCTCGAACCAACTCAACTATGGACCCTCCCGACCACATCTGGATACTTCTTATCCACAATTTCCAATATCTGTTTCCAAACTTGCGACTGCATATTTTGGCCCTCGTCTCCAAAGATGTTATGCTCAACCGAACTACATATCTTCTTAGCTTACATATGATCATGGGGGTTGTATAGAACCTACTTCCTATACTTTTCCTCTGTTTCATAATTTGTGTAATGTGCGCCATGTTCCGATGAAGGAGTGAGAGCCGCAAGGACGTAAGTTCGAGCACCACCTTCAGTAGTCTTGCAAGCAAGACCTATCCACAAATTGATCATTATACCCATTGCTACACCGGTATTGTACTCTCGACCAAGGTCTGATTTTACCATCCTTAGAACGAATTAGGATCGAAAGTCGTCACTCTGAATTAGGCCGAAGGGATAATAACCTGGACAAATTGAGTTCACAATTACCTTGTGCCTTGATTAACATCAGTACATACTATGTGATTACAAATTCGAGGGGTGGGCGTGAGGGGAACATTTCATACTTTCCATCAGCGCTCAGTGCTAACTTGGCGATTTCATTGACCGCATACTGTTGGAGCAATTTGGCTAGGTAGAGCATAACCACTTTGCCCGTCCTTCCAGTTCTCCTCCGCGCTCCAATATTAGAGCACATCATTTTTCGGCCACTTGGAGATGTCGATGTTTCTATGACGACCACCTGGGAGTTCCATGTTAGTCAAACCTATTCAAAAATCCAGGCGGGTTTCTTTATAGAGTCCATCGACGGGGACCCGTCAAGGTACAAGTGACTCAATGTCACTTACTTGTTACTATGCCCAAATGAGCATTTCCTTTTCCAACTTCTTTCGTCCAAGGCAGTAGTAGTAACGCCAAGAAAGAAGTTCCAAGAACGCTTATCTCAATCATAGTTTTATAGCCTTCCTTGCTTAGTTTTCGTTTAGCGGAAATAGCTCCAGCATTCAAACAAACGAAGTCGTTCTCTTGAATATCCCTTGTCACTTTCCCTGCGAATCCATTTATAGTTTCAAAGGTGCTCATGTCTAATTTGGAGTCTCAGGTTACTGTGTGAACCAAGCTATAACTATAGCGACAATTTCGAGCTGTCCAATCATCTGTAATAGCCCTTTATATGTCACCTTTCAAAATTTGGAAGCCAGTAGACATTTGAAAACAATTCAAAATTCCAGCCGATCGGAATACTTGATGGAACTTCAGAAATCAAAAAGCTTCTATTAGTTGTTCTTATGTGAATATATAACTGAATCAAACTTACACCATGCTTCTTACAGTGTTTTTTCCTATTGTGCTCGTCTCATCTTCTATTCTAGCCTTTGCCAGTACCCCTTTCGCAAGCGATCTGCCGATTATGCCGCAGATCTTGCACCCAGATTGACAAAATGTACTGCAGTTGCATAACCTATTCCCGATGTTGCACCAGTGATAAGAATGGATTTTCCTAAAAAAAAAAAAAAAAAAAAAGTATTAGGTGCTGGAAGAGGAGGAAGGTTGAACTTGTTGTTCCAGATGATTGATAGAATAGATGGCATTCTGAAGGATTCTTGAGATAAAGATTGGATAATAGAGGGATTGGATTACTAAGAGGCAGTACAGCTTTGATCACATTCTAATCTAAATTCGGGCATATAAGATGCTCTCGGAGACTTTGGCCCCAGAGCATGGGTAATGGAGGAACATCACGCCGACTGGATTTCCAACCCTCACATGGATTATTTCGATATAAGACGAAGTTGGGATGTGAAAAACAGCTTCAGGAACTTGAAACTATCCCAATAATGATATTTGCATGGGCTCCAAAGGAATGTACAAGAACTCATGTGCAACCATCCCAAAACTATAGCCTCGCCAACAAGCCACGGAATCGACAAGCTATTCTACATTATTGTTATATAGGTCAAGCGAAGGATGAGTGGAGTACGAGACCATTGCCTAGAGAGGCGAATTTTGATCACTTCTACGATATATCATCTTCAATAAATTGGTTATTCTTCTTGAGTAGGTACCTATTATATACAATAAAGCTAATAGTTCTTCCAATCTTCATAACTTTATATAATTCACTTATGATTGATTTTTCATTCAGTTTAATTCAAAAGATTTCAATAGAGATTTGAATGGTCAGATTCCGCCGCTTTTTTCTCCGAACAGACAGCCTTGCTTGCATGCTAGCCTCGTCTAAAGAATTTCCACTAGGCTGGCTTTCGCAAAGAAATATTGCACAACATCGTGAACAATCCAATCACCTCACAACCTCTCCCCAGATTCCCAATTTGGTCAGTTCTAAAGAGTTTCAGATCCAAAATGCCACCTTCTTCTACACAGCCTCTTTTACTCTCGCCCGCCGAACTCTCTTACCTCCACACATCCCTCTCTCTCAACCCTCCAATTCGCCCTGACGCCCGTACGTCTACTCAATTCCGTCCTCTCATCGCCGAATGCGATGTCCTCCCCGGCACAAATGGCAGTGCGCGCATTTGTTTTGCAGATGGCACTGAAGCTATCGTGGGCGTAAAATGTGAAGTCGAAAAATCGCGACCGACTTATCAAGCTGCAGAACTTGGTCCTTCAGAAAATGATGACGATGATGAGGAGGATGAAGATATGAGAGAAGCGATTGAGAAAGAGAAGCTTGAGAAAGAACAAAAGGGAGAAAGAGATTGGCTAGAGTTGAGTGTGGAGATTCCGGGGTTTAGGGATGACGATAGTATGCCTGTTTTCATGGCGGCCATGCTGAGTGAGGCGCTACTAGCAGATGCCGAGTTTGTGGGGAGATTATGGATTAATTCAAGGTATCATTGGAAGATATATGTTGATGTGAGTTTTTCTCTATACATTTATAATGAAATATCTCTAATTGCTCAAAATTTAATCATCGCGACTGACAATCATACAGATTCTACTACTTTCACAGCCATTATCCTACCCACTACCCCTCCTTTCTTTAACAACCCATCTTGCGCTTTTATCTACTCGTCTTCCACGTCTCAAGTCCGAAGGTGATGAAGATCCACTCTTTGACGATGACTGGGAAGCTTCCGTCTACTTATATCCTCGAACACCACAATCCACCAATTCCCGACCACCAATTACACTTCTCGTCATATCCGTTGGCGATAATATAATCTTCGATCCGAGTAAAGAGGAGCTTACAGTCGCCGAAGCTGTATTAGCTATTACCATTGGTGAGAGAAGGCGTAAGGATGGAGACGTAGATATGGATTCTAGCTCTGGAAGAGATCTAAGATTATTGGCTGTGAGGACCGTGGATTTACCAGCTAGGTTAACAGCGCCTGGTGTGCCTAATGCGATGAACACTGCTACTGGAGGTGCGGCAGCTGAGACGACGGATCTAGCATCGACTCAAAGAGAGACAATGAATGAGGGAGGTGTATGGCAACCGCCAAGGGGAGGAATCAAGAGAAAGTTGGTCGCGACGATAATCGCAAAGGTTATGGAAAAGGGAGGTGTAGCAGAGGAGGTATTAGATGGATTGGAGACTGTGGAGCTGTCCTAATGTCGCGGTTTTACAAGGAATTTTCTACAATGATACCCTTCTTCTCCTAATCATGTACAAAATCTCGTCTCATGTCGGCCCAACACCAGAACAATGTTCTAATCCGATTTCAAAATAAAATTGGTATCAAAAGATGCGTCTGGCTCCTACCAAATTCCCAACCATTTCTTTCCTGAGAATTGTTTCTCATAAACCACCTTCTTCTCTCCTTCCTTGCCAGTTCCCTCCACACCCCCCTCAGCCGTCTCGGCAATCTCAGCTTCTTTTTCATGTCCCAACTTAATCCCCGGACCCAAAACCTCTCTATCAGTCTTAGCAGTCCAGCCACCAAAGCCTTCGTCTTTATCTAATCCATGCGCCTTTCTATAAGCAGCCCTCTTCGCAACGTCCTCCACCTTATGTTTTCTCCTTTCCATAGTCTCTGCTGTTACATGCGCAGTGTGCAGCTGTAAAACTTCATAGCATGTTCTTGTAAATGCGATTGGGTGTAGGAATAGTTGTGGCCATTCAGGTAGCATATCTCCGAATGGGGAATCGCGCTTAAAGTTTGTGATCCAGACTCCGCCTGCGAGGGTAGAGAGTGTGCCCTGGAATTGAAGGTTAGTTATATGGTTTGGAGAAACTGAAATAGGGTGGAATAGGTATTACCAATGCGATCCAGATATGAATGGACTTGTTGTTGAGAAACCAATGCATAAATGTTCCTTCCGGTGGCATCATATTTGGATATTTCTTCACACTTTGTCTGGCTATTTCTTCGGCGCTCAATTGGGGACCTGGATACCGGGGAGGATCTTTGCGGAGGCGGGCAGGGTGAGAAGGGGGGTTGAATTTGGTGGGTTTCTCGAGAACGAGGGGTTTGGAAGACTTTTTGGAAGCATTGTTCTTTGATTTGGTAGAAGCGTTGCGAATGGTCGTTTTTGAGGACAGAGACCAGAGAGGAGATCGAAGTGGTAAAAGAAACCTGGGTATAGAGGCTGTGGACGACATTATGGATGATGGATCACAAAAAACCCTCTTGATTTTGATTGATGGTGTAAAAAATAGATCAACAAGCTACCTACCTTGTACCTATGAAATCAAAAAATGAAGCTTCTCACAAATCATGATTCACTCCCGCAATACGTTCACCAGTAAGTCTGCATGACGCAAATTAAAAATTTCACATTAATCCTCCGTAAGATCCCGACCTGCGCCACATGACCTGACCATTTCAATTCTTCCTATTGGCTGGAGACGTTCGGGAAGTGTGGCTCAAATGACCTCGTCAATTTCGGGATCAAAATTAAGCTACGTCTTAATTCCTGCAGGTAGAGTACATATTCAAGCAAGATTATTTTTCCTTTTTTTCTTTTTAATTCTTCATACAATACTATTTTGAAAATTCCTACCACTTTTCCTCTCACGACCTTACGTTCATGAACCTTCGTTCAAGTCATACATACATAATTACTTTCAATTCTATTTACATACATCCTCTTAATTAGTCAAAATGGGTTTCAAAGCAGGTATGTTTATTTTTCCTTTCTGACAGGCTTCCCACTTTTGGGAAATGTGAATCGTCCACGAAGAATTTCGCCATTGAGAGCTGGGAGATGCGAATTGGGTCTTCGACTTGCACAACGGTATGGCCGGTGGCTCGGAAATACTCTGGATGTCTTCAATTGAAGGCGGACTTGTATTTTCGATCTGGGGAGAATATTTGTTCGAGCCGCCACTCGACATTTCAACTCCATCCGCTACTCCGCCAGCTCTGGCCGCTATTCATAAACTTCTGCAAACACTCAAGACCCTGACAGCATCTCCCTCCCATCTTGCGGCACTATATTCTCCCTTTAAAGTCTCACTCGCTCGCCACTTTGTCCGACAAAGACTCTCATGCCTACACGCATAAAGAATAAATACTTACAACTTTCCTTCACAGGAGACGCAAAGAAGGGTGCCAACCTCTTCAAGACCAGATGTGCTCAATGCCACACCCTCGGTGAGGGTGAGGGAAACAAGATCGGTCCTAACCTCCACGGTCTTTTTGGACGTCAAACCGGTTCCGTTGAGGGCTACTCATACACCGATGCCAACAAGCAAAAGGCTATCACCTGGGACGAGAACACACTTGTACGTTTCACCACACCGCCACCAGAAATTTGTTGTATAGAGAGAGTTGCATCTAATATGAAATAGTTCGAATACCTCGAGAACCCAAAGAAATATATTCCAGGAACCAAGATGGCTTTCGGTGGATTGAAGAAGGACAAGGACAGGAACGACTTGATCCAGTACGTTTTACTTCCCATTTCTCTATAACACCCCAGGGGTTTTCTACACATTACTGTTACCATGATGATTTTCTTATTCGTTAAACTTCTTACGTCTACTATGACTATGAGGATATAACATTATTATTCCAATTGTTCCTTCTGAAAGTTCAGCTTGATTCATCTACATTTTGAGATATTCGAGTCGCAGTAGCTAACCATCATCGCAGACACTTGAAGGAGGCTACCGCATAAAAGTTTTCACGACCATTGTATACATAGAATTAGACACAGCGCCTTGTACTCTAAGTTAGACAGATGCTCTCTGGGTAGAAGGAATTTGGGTCACACGTTTTTCGACCTATTAAAATACAAATAACAAATACTCCTCTTCACAATTTTCCCATTAACGGTGTTCACTTTGATCCATGAGTCTTTCCTTACCTAGTGTTTCACAAATCTGATTTTATCCGAATTTTGCAATCTCAGTCGTGTGTGGCTCGAGTGTGAGTGTGGGTCTGACCGACATTTATAATATGCATCTGATGTCTGTCAACGGTCCGTCGATCCTGTGTCAATGTTTCCTACGTCAGACATGCACGGACCATACATTGCACAGGACGATATAAAAAACAACTTTACAAATGTATTTATTTTGAGTCTTTGATTTTGTCTTTTTAGCTTTCTAACAAGTAAACCAGGTATTTTGTGAACTTCTACAACCGTGAATAGACCCGTACCGAAGTCGAATTGTTCTCAGATATTGTCGAGATAAGTGCCAAGCATGACCTCCCCACCAAGACCACTAAATTCATTCGTCTCTTTTGAACCGCCATCTCAACTTCAATGTTCAATTGATCAAATTCTATTCTGCTGCGAAATCAATATGAGCCTTTTCCTCGGATTTTACGGGTAATGAGGCGTCCCTAGTCACAGGGCTAGGTGTGGATTTAGATTGAATATTCGAGTAGATTTTCTCGGCGCCAGAAATACATTGCATGTTGGCGCCGAGTTTGTTCATAGTTTCCATCCATTCATCGTAGGGGTCTGAGTCGAAGACTATGCCACCGCCTGTAGGTTGTGTTAATTTACAGATGAAGATAAAGGATCAAGGGGTTTGTAGGCAGTGTCATTTGAGATAGAAAACTCGGCGCGAAAGAAGAAAATTAAACATACCAGCTTGCAAATAAGCAACTCCATCTTTGACCACCATAGTCCTCAAAGCAATACACGTATCCATCTCTCCCTCAAATTCATTCCCTTCTGCATCTACACTTCCATAGCCGAAATAGCCGACTGCGCCCGCATATACACCTCTCTTCTCTTTTTCCAATTCGGCTATCAATTCCATGGCCTTGACTTTTGGAGCACCGGATACAGTACCCGCGGGGAAAATAGAACGGAAAGCATCGAATCGAGTCTTATCTTTCCTTAACACTCCCGAGACTTGTGAGACCAAATGTTGTACGTGACTGAACTTCTCAACGACCATCAATCGATCTACGCGAGTGGTTATGGGATCGCATACACGGTTAATGTCGTTACGTGCAAGATCAACCAACATGACGTGTTCAGCGCGGTCTTTAAGAGAACTGCGGAGTTCTTCGGCAAGAGCTTCATCGATTTGAGGGTCTGCATTGCGTTTGACAGTACCAGCGATGGGGTGGGTTATCACGCGACCCTCTTCAGCTTTAACAAGAAGTTCGGGAGAAGCTCCTACAATTTGGAAGTCACCACAGTTGACGTAGAAAAGGTAAGGCGAGGGGTTGACGGTACGGAGGTGACGATATATATTGAAGGGGTGGAGAGAAGTTGGTCTTGCAAAACGTTGTGACGGTACTGCTTGAATGATATCACCAGATGTAATGTGAGTCTTAAGAGTATTAACATGCCCCTCGTAGCCTTCCTGCCCAATGTTTGACGTATATTCATTGTCCAGTTTTATAGGTGGCTGAGTGGGTAGAGGTGTATCTGGCGATTCAAGAACGGAAACAACTTCATCAATGATTTCTTGTGCTTTCTCATAATCCGCTGGAATCTGTGTGAAATCTTCCGGAACGTGAAGGTATGTTATAACTTTTATAACTCCAAAAAACCGATCGAATGCGACAACAGTATCGAATAGCATAAAGAGTGACTCAGGAACTTGAAGAACATCTTTCATAGGTCGTGCGGTCTTAGGCTCGAAGTATCGAACACAATCATAACCCACATATCCGATGGCTCCTCCTGTCAAAGGTGGTAATTTTTGACCCGGTATTTGTGCTACCCTACATTTGGACAATTCTGCCTCGAGCGCAGGCAATGGGTCCAGCTGTTCGCCATGTCCTTCACCAGTTTTGAGAATCTTTCGAGGTCCAGCTCCTATAAAACTATATCTGCCAACCTTCTCTGTTGCAGCACTCTCGAATAAGAAAGAGTGATCGGACTTCGAATGCGCCGAAATCTTGAGGTATGCGGCGGAGGGAGTAATGAGATCGGAAGAAATTTCTTTATAGATAGCAACTAGATTGGGAGCATATGACTTTCCTCGAGTTTTGGAAAGCACATTCGATACTTCCGCCAAAGAAGGCGAGATGTCCTAGTTACTTTGTGAGCTTTTTTCTTGTCAATTCTGGGAGGAGTCATCTTTTCAACATACCCCCACCACCATTTTGTTTGAGAGTAGATTGAAAGTAAAAAGAATGAATATGGGGGGGATAAAAGCCGATTGTATCTAGAAGAAAGTAAAGAAAGAGCGTGAAAGAATTCTTCCAATTGAGTCAATAATAATTCTTTGTGAGATTGTTACTTTGTAGAATGTAAATTGTCCCGCAATGTATTTTGCCATCTAGTAAAGCAGTAAATAAAAGCGGTGACTCATGGCAGAACCTTCCACTGAAAATGCCAACAACAGGACATTTCCACCCCACTACGCGCGACATACCGCTACTTATGTACGTCGTATTGAGATCAACCATTGGTTTGTATGAGGATTTGTGCATTTTGAACTGCATTTCATAATGCATCCACGTGAAACCTTTACAACAAAATGAATTCTTGGATGCTGCTTAGGTCATAGCGCCTATATAACTTCCTGCATGTAATACTCCAAAGAAAGATGAATGTCCTGGGTCTTCGGCGCCATTTTACTTCCCCTCTCTCATTCACGAATGTTGATGCTTCAGCAACTGCCCCATCAAATTCCTCGAATCAGGACTCTCAGGACAACAAGGATGTCTTACTACAAAGACTCAATGACCTCGTAGTCAGGTTGTCACATGATGACGCCGAAGACGATGCCATCACTGCGTTGCACAAGAAGACGGACGAGATGGAGACACTACTGAGAGTGGAATACTCTATGGATTTGGACCCGAAAGTATCTCATAATAAGGTCAAACCACCGCCGCCGCGAAGGGATTCCAACGACATGTTCTGGGGACGACCACTGAACACTAGAAGAGAGAGCTACTTACGAAGATCCTATTCTCCGCCACCAATATCCCATAGCCCTTCATACAATAGGAGTGTAGTGGCGGTCGCGAAAGCTGCTGAGATAGCAACATCAGCTGAAGCGTTGAATGTACGACTTGCCAAAGCAGTCGGGGAACTCCAAGCTCATAGAATAGAAAGTGATGTAAGTTTATATACATCAGACAACTTTCAAGCTGAAGATACGATTGCTCATGTATTATATGTAGAAGATTCTGGCCTGGCACGTCTCCAAGTTGGACGAATGCACGGAAGAGATCACTAATTTAGAGCAACACATTTCGCATCTGTAGGTGCTAACTCTCATCCTCGTTCCCTTTATTTCCTCTCTCTTTTCTGGCCTTTTATTTTCTTGAGACTAAGCAATCTATCAATCAAATCAGCCAGGAAGAGCTTGGGACCAGTCAATCACTACTTAACCGTACCCAAATCGAAATGCAAACTATGGCAGCAAAGCACGCGAGAGCTCTGGACGATATAAGTTGGAGGGAAGATTGGGATGAACTTAATCAGGATGTGGACATGAGGGGTAACAGTAGTATAGGGGTGTGGGATGACTCTACCGAGTATTTGGGCAAATAAATATCAACTAGGTTAATATTTCATGCCTGATATCTTATTGAGGATAAGTGGCAGCTTTGGCTCTGCGCTTATACAGAAATTTGCATAGATATTAGGAGTTGGGGAAATACCAATTTTGCATGACAATCACAAAATCGGGGAGATTTATCAACATTGAAATATCTTCACTTTGACCATTTAAACCGTTGACCAAGCGGTCACTAACTGCAGAAAAATTATGCTTGCAGGTCATGCGTGAGGTCCGAACACGGTCAAATCATACACACCTGCAATTTCAAGGGTTGCAATCCCTCTTGTCAAAATTGAGCCTTCAACGTATTGATAAAACTGAGACGAGTGGTGCTTTGGGAGTGGGCTTCTGTGATGTTACTAACTCCATTTTCAGTCGCACACTAATTTTATTTTACCCCATACTACATCCACTGCTTCGCCATCCAACCAATACTCACCGTCGCTATAATAAGAGACGGTAGCGTTCCATTCCGCATACTTATAGTCTCAAAAACCAACCACTGGCCAACAAAATGCGACAAAGCTATCACATAAGTCCACAAAGTCATGACACAAATCTCCTTGTTCTCAATATTGTACGCAATGTATGTGTGAAGGATGAAAAATACCAAGGCCCAAGTACCGAACAACTGAATTCTTAGTTCCGTAACTTGAGACTGCGAAGTCGGACCAGAACAAGTTCGACGCATTTTCGATGAAGAGGTGGAGCATCCTTTGGTATTGAGAAGGGATGCTGCTGAGGTCTAATATTGGATTATGTCTTTCAGGCGGAAGAAATCGAGGGTTAATAGAGTGGGTATTGCGTATAGTTGTATGAGGAAGACATATCAGATTGATAAAGCGAGAGGGGCTCTAGGTTATAGACCTCGACTAGATTTGAAGGAAGGGATTAGGCGTAGCGGAGGGTGGTTTCAGGTATGTTTGCTTTTGGATTCAATCTACTATGCGGTTGTTCTGATGGTCAAGAAAGAAAGTCTATGGCACTACTGGCAATACCTAATGATCAGAGTAGATGAAATGAGAACTGGATTGAAATCAATGAATTAATATGTATACCACGGTTGCATTATGCTCTTCAATAATTTGGTGAGATCTCTCTCATGGCATACGTCAAAAGAAAATGTTTATTCCTACCAGCTATCCGGTAAAAATTTCCGAGAGCATCATGTTCAATCCCACAGGAGGGTAAAACCTTGGATAGGCACTTCTAAGTGGCAGTATGCTGGAAGGAACGAAGCAAAAGATCCACCATCAAAATTCACGCGACAGGTCTATATACATCCCTCTCGAAGTCTTTCCTGGAGTGATGATCTCATTGCGAGACTTAAAATACAGTGTGTCGTACTCGCTTTAGCTCTTGATTTGACGGATCGTGCCTTTCTTGGCCCCCTCTTCCACTTTCTCTCTGACCCTGCTTCTATTCCACAATAGATCTGTACGAATCAAATTCTAGAGACCATCTCTCTTCACCCAAGAGCGTAGCTACACTTTCCGGCTGGTGATTGCGATTCCTCACGACAACCAAAAAGAAAAAAAAACATACAACAGTGGGGATTCGCTGGTGGTCACCCACCCAACTACTAATCCACCGATCTGAAGCTTGTGTATGGCAGAGCGGACGGGATGCCCAATTCTCTTCAGTCTATGGTCGTATGTGTCAGGGAAGCAGTGTTGTGAAAATATATTCAAGTCAAAACAGACGACGCTTCTCGCTTGATTAAGCTTGGCGCCAAATGCCTCCTGCCTGGAGCTTCCCTCAACTTTCACTTTCACCTTCAATTCAACTTTTCCAAACTCCAAAGAACTTCACATTTGATATCCTGCATCTGTATACCTGAGTCTTATCTCGAGGTGTCCATCCCTTCGACATTTTTCAATAAAGCACACATTCTCATATTTTCGGATTGAAGTTCGTTCGTGCCAATTCTCAATTGTTTCCAAGTTTAAGGTACAGAAAGTTATCATCTCTTCTCCTGTGGGTCTTTGTATTGGTTCGTAAGTTTTATTCTTCGAAACAGTGAGTATTGCTCTCCCCGAATGACGATTTTGGTATGATAAGGAAGAGTTTGGATCAATCTGAAGCGTATCACTGAATCGTTATATCCAGCTTCACTTTCAACTTCACTTGAAATTTTTCATCGGATTTGTTTATTCGGACCTTTCTTCAAATATCTCAAGCCTCAGCCTTGATTGTATTAAATTGTCAATATGGCGATCGCAGCTTCACTTTGCGGTGATGCGAATGAGCAAGAGGTAGGTCGATTTCAGTCTCATGCGAGAGGTAATTCACTGACACATATTTTTAGAGTGGTATCATCGATATCGATGAAATCCAGGCCCATGGTAATCCGCAAAGTGCTCTTGATCCTTTGTAGCTTTGGGTTCTAACTGAAGCAGGTATCTCTGCCTCGGATATCGCAAAATTGAGATCTAACCTCATTCATACTGTTGGAGTAAGAACATTCTTGCATCCAGTCATAAAAGTCTGATTCAAGACGTGAAGCTGACCTCGCATTAGACTCTTATTAATACGCCCATCCGAAGATTGGTTAAAATCAAAGGTTTCTCCGACATCAAGGCTGAGAAAGTCAAGGAAGCTGCAAAGAAAGTAGCCGTAAGTAACAAGCTCCGTATTACTTTTATCTCATATGCTGACAAAAGACAGGGCCCCAACACTGGTGGTCAATTCGTCACTGCCGCTGAGCATGGCCACTTCCGAAAGAAGTGTATCAGAATTTCTACTGGTAGCAAGCAGTTGGATGCTTGTTTAAACGGGTGGGCGAATCTTCTTAATCCGACCTGAACTGGAAGGTCTAACTTTTTACAGTGGATTCCAAACTATGAGTATCAGCGAGGTATACGGGGAGTTCAGTGAGTTTCCTGAGACCTTTATGATGTTTCTCTCGCTAACAATTATAGGATGTGGCAAGACTCAATTGGCACATACAATGGCAGTCATTGCCCAGCTTCCTAAGGATATGGGCGGAGCCGAGGGAAAGGTGGCCTATATTGGTAGGGAAGCAATAGCTTGCGAAGCCAAGATTTGTGGTGAACATCTGCTAAGACTTGACTGGACAGATACTGAAGGCACATTCCGCCCAGAAAGAATTTCGGAAATAGCAGAGCGATTTGGTGTCGATCCTGATCAAGCTCTCGAAAATATAGTTTATGCTCGTGCACATAACACTGAGGTATACCTCGTGGTTCTTTCATTCCAGTTTATACCCTTTGCTGACCATAATCAGATGCAGCAGGAATTGCTCGAGGGCCTTGCCCAAAATTTCGCAACTGATGAATACCGTCTCCTCATCATTGATAGCATTATGGCTCTCTATCGTAGTGACTTTATCGGACGTGGTGAGCTTTCCGAACGACAAGGAGCCCTCAACGCCTTTCTGCGTAAGGCAACACAAATGGCGGAAGAATTCAATCTGGTTGTCTTCATGGTATATATTTTTATCTTTTCCATCTCAGAGATCTGACTGACACTTTACAGACAAATCAAGTAATGTCGGATCCAGGTGCCAGTGCCCTTTTTGCAGGAGCTGATGGGCGTAAGCCTGCTGGAGGACATATACTTGCACATGCATCGACAACTAGAATCCTCTTGAGAAAAGGTCGTGGAGAGGAACGTGTTGCCAAAGTCGTAGATTCTCCTGGTAAGTTACCCTTGATCTATCCTAGTCACTTGTACTAACAGCATAAATCAGATTGCCCGGAACGTGAAGCGACATATATTATTACAACCGGCGGTATCAACGATCCTGAAAAGGCCTAATGATATATAGACATCTGCCTCTTAACTTCAAAGTCAGACATACCTACCAAAGTCCTCATACACGTACTTATAACCTTGTATCATTCGATAACACATTGCTTTGGGTGGGCGTTAATATAATGGAAAAATTCAATGGATAAAGTCTGGCATCTTTCAATGTATATACCAGTTGCATACTAGAGAAAGGAGGAGTGATGGCGTTGCTTTCGTTGATGGCTCGAGAATGGTCAGTGATCGGGTGTTTGTGGTACCCCGTAGCTTCGGGCTTAGCTTAGCGTCCTCCGATAAGACACAAACCCCTGCCAAATATTTTTGCTTCAAAAAAAGTTCCCCAATGACAAGCTCAATTGAATAAACCACTTCGATTTGATTTCACGCGCAGAATCTGGAATTTTCATCACACATATGCAATTTATCTAGAGATACACTACAACATGTCGAAAGCACCAACTACCATTGGTGACAACTATACTGTCCTTCCTATCGCAATTCCTTCTACGCCCGCATACCCCGTTGCGACGACGCATCACATATATTTGCGACAGCATGCTCCAAAGATTCCGTCTGAGAATGATTCACGGAGTCTCTTCGCAACAAATTTACCTATAGATTCCACAGATATTCATATTCGAAGCATATTCGCATCATTGATAGGTGTTGGCCGAGTTGAAGATGTGCGATTCGATGGGGAAAAGGAAGAGGTTGTCGCACAAAAACAAATCGAGAATGCCTCACAGAGCAAGAAAAGGAAGAGAGGAGGCGAAGTCGAAATCGATACGAGTTTACCACAAGGATGGGATAGGCAATTGCGCATCAAGGGAAGGACGGCTGTGGTATTATTGGTAGATGAGAAAAGCGTAGAATCCGTTCTAAAAGCTGCACGAAAAACCTGCAAATCAGGAAAGGAATCAAAATACCCTATTTGGGGTGCAGGCGCTGAAGGCAAAGTGCCCGCTTTGGGTAGCGCACGTTATGCAATGAGGCAGGAGTTACGATTCCCTGACAAATCAGCAGTGCAGAGGAGTGTCGACGCTTTCATGACGAAGTTCAATAGCAAGGAAGAAGAGAGAGAGAGGGAAAGAAAGAGATTAAGGAATGTACCAGATGAGGATGGATTTGTGACAGTAGTGAGGGGTGGAAGGACAGGCCCAGCGAGGAATGAGGCGGCAGAAGAAAAGAGAAGAGAGATGGCCGAGAAGGAGGAGAAGAGGAGAAAGGAGTTGGAGGACGCAGGATTTTATAGGTGGCAGGGACGAGAGAAGAGAAAGAAGGAGGTTGGAGAGCTGGTCAAGAGATTCGAGGAGGATAGGAAGAGGGTGGAAGGTATGAGGGAAAAAAGAGGAAGGTTCAGACCTGAGAGATGATCAGGCCCGAGAAGCTTGACAATGCTACCTTAGACTGGAGATTGGATGGTCTCCGCTAATAAAGGTATGTGCGACAAATAATTTGTTTGTTGATTCGTCCCCTGTTTCGTGATGACACCGCGGGGCCATAAAAGCATATTCTTCCAATGGGCCAATTCCTGGTGGTTTTGAACATGCAATGACTACAAAAACCGCATTAAAAAATCTTCTCAACATTGTCTGATAATTCGCATAATTCAACCTTTCATCTGCCACTATGCTCGAATTGTTCAATTTACTAATTCGTGGCGCGGACAGATTCATTCTCAGGCACGCCTCAATCATTGAGTAGGCTTATGCCTTTGATCTCATCTGGATCACCTCACTTACATGCCTCAGACAAGCATGTACAGAATTGACACTAGCACACAGTCCTAGCTTAAAACCATGAGTTCAGTCACGAAATCTATAAATAATTTCGAAGTTCAACAATAAACCAAAGGATTGTTCTCCTGTTCTTTCACACACAAAGAAATATTTCTACTTGTTGTGTTGAATTCGTTGGGCGAAAGAGCTTTTGCTGAATCTCTGGCCTCTTGTCATTAAGAGTCAATCTTACTTGAGATCATTCTTCTTTTCCTTTATTCGTCGTTCTTGGGTATCCACCAGGTGATTTATTGACATAGTTGGCGATTGGAGACATTGGATCATACTCAAGTCTTGACATGACTTGATAGCTATTGGAGACCATTTCACCCTGCCCATTGTATATTGATACGCACGGTAATATGGTCACTGAACAACTAGAGACCCCAAGCCAGTTCAAGACTTCAATTCAAGTATTGAACAATGCAACAGATTTTTAGAGAATGTTATATATATGATTAGTACCATAATGTCATTCCCCTGTTATCCCCTGCCAATGATATGTTCTAATCACACTTCCAACTCACCAAGCATGTGCCAAAGTACCAGCGTAGTCTTCTCCTGCAATCACTGGGGCCCACGCAAGATTTCTCGACCCTGCCCATGGGCAACCAGTGAAAATATGAAAGCCGGCTGCTTCCTTACCTTGGAGCCAGAAGGAGTCGAGCACCTCGATCGCATGTGTGACTCTTGCAGAATCAAAGAAGATCTCGGAAGTACATCTACACTGACGCACGTGGGGATAGATGGATTCCGACGACCGTTCACGAGAGTAGGTACAGCAGCGAGTAAGTTACAAGGAGCATTTGAGGAGGAGACCCAAGAAACCAAAGCTGACCAATTAAATCAGGTAGTCGACGATCTTGATGAGAAGCGAAGGGAGACTGCGCAAATCAGTCAAGAGAGGAGAAGGGGATTATCTCAGGCTGACAGACTGATAGAGAGGAGACAGAAAGAACGAGTGTTGGATCAACTCCATAAACAGCTCATAGAGCGGGAGAGAGAAAGACACAAAGAAAGGAAGAGGAAGCTAAAGGCAAAATATGAAGGATTAGACGATTGAGGATTGGCCGGGCAGCTAATACATATCTAGGTGGATAAATAGCGAGAAGCGGAGGAAAACTCATGCGGCCGGACCGCGCTGGATATTGGTTCTCCTCATCTTCGCTTCTCCTTCTTTGGAGCTGATTTCTGGTCCATCTGGTCCAGGTAAGTGCTCTTGTTTGACTTAAACGTCCTGCGATATCACTTCATTGCTTTCAGGCCCAACCTTCGTTTTTGCAATTTTGCTAGTCAGTCCAACAACGGGAATGTACCATACGATTTAACGGTCTACGACTGGAGGACAATAGTCTCGAATAGTGCTGGAAACTAAACACTTAATTAATATGTTCACACAAATTTACATAAAGCCTTGAAGCCTTTATTTCTAACATGATCATGAACATGTAATTACCCCGTGAATGGAAAATAAACGAACCTTTAAAAGTAAAAAATGCGTGCATAGCCCCTATATCCTGTTCAGAACAAAGCAATAAAGATTACAATGACATTGATGGATCTTTGTTTCCTTTGCTCAAAATACAACTGTTGATGCCAATTATCTTAGAACAGAAAACATATACAACAAATCGCTTAAAACATGCTAGATACTTGCCTCATACCCTTTTGTATCCGCAGACCAGACAGACCACAATAATTAGTCAAAATGCAATACAAAAGCCAACACCCAAATCCCATCCCATCCCCATAATCTTTACACACTCTTCATCGTAAGCTCAAACAGCCCCAACTTTTCACCGACAAAAATCATAAACGCGATAGAAGAAAATTGTACCGGCGTCTAGTGGCATAGCGGCTAAGAGCCTGTCCTCTAATAACCCCATCGATCGTTTCTTCCCTTAGCCCTACAAAGAACGGGAAAGGTTTTGTTTTCACTTCTATTTATTTAGCTTGATTAATTGGCTCTCATATTTTTGTAGTCTTCTTCAGAGTGACTGGATTCGATTCTGGAAAAACTTTCAAAGGGAAAGAGTTCTTTCTATCCATCCCTTCGCTTATGAGTATTCTAGTGGAGCGATGCATGTGAAGCTTCTGAATGGCATGAATAGAAATGTTTGATTAGTCCTATGATTCACTTTTCAACTTCACATTTAAGCCCTTTCAACTTGTCCGGGTATATAGCGAATATTGACCGATATCGGCACTGAATGGTATATATCTTGACCACGAATGTGATTATATTCGTTGTGTTCGTAATGCAGCATTAAAAATTTCTTGGTATATATATACCGGTAAAGAACTTATTGCAGCAGAACTCTCTACATGCTTGTGGAATAGTAACAGCAGTATCCAGACCTCGACCCCCACACGAAAATACAAATTACCTCCCAGAAAGTCAGAAGATCTCACGTCAAAACCAAACTTACTCACCCTCTCCGTAGCGCTCACATTCCCCAGTCTCAAAATGACCTCAACTCCAAAAATCATTTTCGTCCTCGGCCCCCCTGGTATTGGGAAGGGAACCCAGTGTATGCTTCTCGCCCAGTTATCGAATCCTCATCGCCGCATCCATCACATCAGCATCGGCGATATCCTGCGCTCAGAGCTGCAGAAGCCATCTAGTAAATGGGCATCGATCATCCGGGCCAATATGGCCGAAGGCCGAACAGGTCCACCCGAGATGTCTGTTTCCATGTTACAGGAAGCGATTGCACGAAGGAGTGAGGATATTGATCCCGCCAAAGAAATGGTATTCTTGATCGATGGTAAGTCACTTGTATCAAGTACTGAGTGTGGATCTTCAAGTGCTAATAAGAACATAGGATTCCCTCGCAGTATGGACCCCGTCGCTCTCTTCGAATCCACAATCTGTGCGCCATCTCTCGTGCTCTCTCTACATTGTCCGCTGCAAATTCTGCAAGAGAGACTTCTGTCTCGAGCTAAATCTTCCAGCCGAATTGATGATGGGGTTTGAAATTATGCATAAGCGATTTGGACAGCACGTTTGTGCTACTGGACCTGTTATTGAGCATTTTAGGGAGCGAGGGTTGCTGGCTGAGATTGATGCGAGTAGGAATGTTGAGGAGGTGCATCGGGATGTTTGGGAGGCGGTGGAGGAGATCTTGGGTGAGCATCAAGGATGAGATAGAGGGGCTTGGTGTGTGTGCGAGACTTTGATGGGTGATGAGGGAATGCGAGATAGAGCAGTATAGCGATGATGTAACTTTCGTAATATAGAATGACATCTATATATGCGCCGTAGTATGAGTGACGATGGTAGTTAGAATGTCTAGGTACGTAGATATAATCTTCACTTTCAATGAATAAGTTCACTTTGCCATGAAGGTACGAATTATAGTAGCTACGACAATGTCGGAAGTTTGAACTGTATTCTTGTTTTCCTAGATTCTTTTATCCTTTCAAAATACTTTGATAGGTAAAATCCAAATTCCCAATTTGGGACAAAGTGACCGTACTCTTCGTATTCACCTGTATAAAGCTAAGAATGACAATGACAACTTCCATTACTAACACCCGGTTGTCTGAGTTGAGACTTCAAATCATTCAGAGAAGTCCTATTGTGAGGCTATTTCCTTTCTCCTCTAGAGCTATCCATCTGTCCAAACAATAAACGAAGACAAAAAACAATTTATTACGTCATGCCAATATACCTACGCTTCACTCGCCGTTCCTTGAAACATATAATGGAAGGGTTTCAACCCTTGAACTGATTTCATCTGAAGATACTTGAAAATGGAGTATGGCCACGTGTCTAGCGTCAAATTAGGCAATCGCGCTCGAGTTAAAACAGGCCACTGACCAAAATTTCGTTATGATTCACCATCGTCGTTGGGTACGCTCGCTTATGGACATATATAAACATAGCCATCCCCCCAATTACCGCACGATCTTGAATCCTCTTACAAACAACCACGACCACTCAAATAATCTTCCAATACCTGCTTGCGCAAGAGTATCATCTTACACTTGTACACACAACACCCCAGAAATAAATCAAGCAAACAAATCAAAAAACAAATAAAACGAACAAAAGTACCACACTAGTCCTCAAGATGGAGATGGACTTGGAGATTTCGCCCCACGCCGGACAATCAGAGGTTCATACTCAAGTTCCTACCTCGCCTCACTTTCAAAACCCCATGCAATATCTTCATGGCGCATGCAGTCACTGCTATCGCGATGATGGAATGGATATTCGAGACAAACAATTAGTTCCGTGCTATCAAGATGGAGAACTGGATCCATTCACTCTTTTCTTACTGACTCCTAGATGGTGTGTAGATTGTTTGGCTCAACGAGAACTGGCGATTCGGGCTTCATATTGTGATCGATTGATCGAGATGGAATCGGTGGAGTTTCCGATCGGTACCGTGGAGGAGGCTTATATTCGGGGGGTAAGTTTTTGGTTGTAGATTCCCACTCCGCGCTCACAATAGTTGTGGGTCTGGATGAGGGTGAATTTATTGATTAGTCACTAACATCTATTAGGTTCATGATGGCCGAATTAATGCCTTGTCCCAATCGTTCGAGGATTGTGGAGTATACTCGGCTGGAGACAACAGTGTCGTCGTCGATGATTTCAACGAAGTGTTGGAAACATTGACCAACATGAGGCTCGGAACTGATACAGCCAACGAAGATAAAAAGATTGAAGAAATCGTCCGAGATTTCAACGATCAGATGATGCTAGAGGAGGACGAACTTAAGTACGAAGTTTATTGGCACTTAGCATATATGGAAGGAACGAAAGATGGTTGTTATATGCAAGCACAGATGGAGTACAAGGCACTAACGATGGATGATCCGGAACGGAGTGAAATGTTGAGGAGAGCTGTGCTTTGATGATTGACCTAGTGGTTATTGGAGAGTTAGGAGCGTTTCCGTACCAGTATTTTTGCAGCGGGGTATATGGAATGGTCTTTTGAGTTCGGTCTGATCCTGGAGTTAAAGGGACCTGAGCATCTTTGTATCTGGGGAAATGCCTCGTGCACCGACCTTATCGATTGCGATTGATAGAGTCATGGGCGATGTCCGTGACATGGACGAATCGACAAGAATACCAAGGACAATAAGAGTAAACTTAATTTGTTAGGTGATGTTGCGCAAGCTGAATGAATTTCTAGTGATTTCAAGGTTGTATCTATAAATGGAACGGGGTTTTTTTGGCATCCTCTAAAATCTCGCGAATCTATCGATGTCAACTCAAGCGAGTACCGTTCGAAGTGTTGGATCAATGAAATTAAATCTAGATGCTGTAGTCATGATCGGCGAGTCCATAACGGAGTGAATGTGTATCTGCCTTGCGAGTGAGATTTGTGCAACTCGATATTTCTTCAGCAAGCCGTAGAATTGCCAGGCAAGGAGTGTAGGGTGTAGGGTGTAGGGTAGGAAAGGCAGGAATGGGTGTGCATGTGTAATCGATGGGTTACTGTGCCCCGAGATTAGCCTGACGCCCATTGCAGACACGGGATATGTACTCCCATAAGATATAAGACCGAGATGAGTGCTGTGAATCGGATGTAGGTAGGCATGCAAGTAGGTATGTGATATACATGTTTGCAGGTACGAATATATTAACAGGCACAAACTTAGATTTACCACGGGAATTATCATTGGACGGTATTGACTTTGCGCAGAATTTGTGATGTGCTTAAGGACCCTGTGTATGTGATGTGAATTTTGGTACATCTAAAATATTGTATGTAGCTAAATGAAGGCTGTTGACCGAAAGCCTTCTAGAAGATGGCCACGATGACTCCATTTGGGATTGTGCTACTGTCATCGATGCAAGCATACGGCGCAACGATATAAATGGAAGTCCATGTAGGTTGGAGGTACATCGTTCTTAGTCTGGGTCAAAATCCATTTTTCTTTTCTTTCCTTTTTGCGCCTTATTAGTGCTTTTTATGCTGGCACGTCGCTAAGAGATTCTTTCCCTGCTAGATTGCCATGGTCCCCCATACAATTTGCCTCTTGCGGCTGCTGACTTGCATATATCCCAAAAAGCAAATTGAGAAAATTTTCCGCGAAGAACGTTAAAGGAAGGGTTAGCAAGTGGTCCGATAGAGAGGGGAATAAAAAAGAAACATGAGCTACTAAAGGTCTTAGTTAAGAAATGTTTCATTATTGAATGTGTTGTTACGGGCGAGCGCGAAGTCAATCCAAGATGCTGCACTGATAAGGAAAGGTGGAGTATATTGGTGCATGGAATAGATATGCAGGTGCAAAGGTCTTTTTTTTCATTTAAAGAGCTATGAGCAAGCTACTGCAACATCGTGGAGGTCTTTCGCAAGCTAAATTATTCTTGCACAACCTCACTCCTCAGTTCTCACTCTTCATGTAGCTGATCTTTCTTGAAACAGAATGTTGCAGCCTCAGAAAGCCCCCATGAATACTACCAGTAATATAGACATGGTTGTCAACAAGTAGGCATGTATGTTGACTTGTTGAGACACTCTATCCGATCTAATAGTGTTTGATATCGTGACGATGGTTAATTGGTATAGGGAATGACCCGAGTATGTAGAAGCTTTAATCATCGCCAACAAATCCTATGACGGTTGTTGGAACTTAGATTTCTCCTCGAATAGATTATTGAAGATCGTTCCTATGATTGCCGAGGATGGAGAGGAACCATTCGTGTTAACACCGGTAGTTCGAAGATATCAGATAACTTCTGTTTGGATTCGTCCCTAACCCGGAAGTATGTTTGAAAAGGAGTCGAATGTATTTCCTTCTTGAGTAACAAGTAAGACACCAGTAGCCAGATTCAGCACTCTTGTTTGAAAGACTCTAACGGAGCAGTCCAGATCACGTAAGAATTCCGCAAGATTTAATTCCGACGATCTTCAAGGTGTGTGGATGGGGATGGATTACTGGGATATCAAAGTGACTGGCGATAGTCTATCAGTCTGTCTTCAATGTTCATCCAACAAGTAGCTGCAGTAGAAACTATGGATACTCGTTAGATCATTAAACTTAGTGGAGTATCAATACAGAACATTTTATTTCCGAATTAATCGGGATATCTGATATCTTCGTCTGTTTTCACCTCAAGTTGATACAAAAGCCTCAACGCAACGGGTATCTGTATGGTTTTGTGGTTTGACCAGACTGTCGAATGAATGTTTTCGCTTATGTGTAACCAGTTGTCGAGAATCAAATCTGATCAATCAATATTTGTTGTACTCTCTCTTAACCAAAGACGTTACTTTATTAGATGATTACTTGCAAAAGAGTTTGCCATGGGGTTGTTACCTTGTAGAGGCGTCTGCGTACTTAGTACGTTATCCGCTCTGTATTGCCTAAAACAGTGCTAAGCCTTCCCCAGAATCCTTTTAATCAATTATCAGCTTCAGCTCTGACGACTGGGGGGGCCTTTTGACGCACATAGAGTAATCATATAGTCATACATCAACTGTACCATATGTATGCATACTAGGTATATGTGTGTGTGTGTGTGTGTGTGTATGTACATATGTATGTATATCTAGGTATCATTAGATTCTCTATACATAGGTACTTAAGGTAGCTTCGAAAGTATTCCGGATCCGGACCACTGGTGGACATCGGATCGTCGTTTGTTAAGAGTACCTACCTAGGTAGATAAGGGGAGTACCGGTAGTAGAGGATTGCATTACGAATATACTAGAGTAACAGCAACGACTGCAATATCGACGACACTGAAGCTTCTTGTTATTACTATTACCATTTCACAGTGCCATTTTGATATCACTCTACCCACTTTCTCCACCTATTCCACCAAGTCTTTCCTCATTGCCAAATATAAGTTACCACCCGATACTTCGGTAATTGTCATTTTCTTCTTTCTAATAACAAATCATCCTATCATATATGGACCAGAGTGTGGCATGGTTCATTCCTTCCTCCTATTCTCCACCTTACGCAGGACACTTACTCCCCCGTATACCCAGGAATCAAATGAAAAAGCATGCACCCCTGAATGTTTGACATTCACACACCAGTGATCATACTCAGCAACACTCACTCAGGGTCTAGTTTACACTCCGTAGTACTTTTAGGTACAGGGGTAAATTACGGATCCTGGACTTGTCTAGTTCCTCCTGCCCGCTGGTTCCTCGCTGGAAGAAAAAAAAGTGCATCTGGTTTAAGGTTACTGAACTTAATTCTTATTTTGAATTTGAATTTGAATTCGATTTGGATTTCGATTTGGATTTCCATTTTGAATTTGAATCCTCTTGCTCTAGAATTCTCTTCCTGGAGTCTCTTAGAATCATCCACACACATCTCGTTCTCTCTTGGGGATGAAGGGTTTCTCCTTGATTATCATTAACAAAAACAAAAACAAAAACACTTCATCAACTACATTTTAATCTCTTATAACTAATATAACCATCAATATCCATTGTCATTGACCTTAACACTCCAGAGCTCTTTGGACCCCAAAATATCTCATTGGCAGTTTCCTTTCTCGGAACATTCGAATCCCTCTCTCTTTGGATCTTGCTTCATCACTCAGGTACGCTCACAAAAAAACCATGTTCCATTTCATCACCACCACTCTTCCCGTTTTGTGGGTATCCAATTGGGACGTTGCGTCTAGATACCTACGCTCGATTCTTCTTTCCCAGTTTGTTTACTTCAGTTCAAATGTTATACTCCTTCCTCTTGGATACTTCCCCCGTGTTACAATCTCCAACTTTCAATCTGTATGTGATTCGAGGTGTATGATTTGCCTCACCTCCGAGTCAGTTGTTGTGCATTGACTGCCTACACGAGCCCCTTCTGAATCAACTGCCACAGTCTTACAGTACATATCCACATATCCATATCATCATATGTTTTCGCCTTGTTAACATATCTTTGCTCATACTGATTTACGTCGAAAAGCTCTCGATACAGGGGGCTTGCTCAGATTTAACCACACTGTCTCAATGTCCCACTCGACTTGATCAATTTACTCCTGTCATTCGACTCGCCCCATCCTGACCACTTTCCCAATCACTAATACTCTTGCTGGTCACAAATAAACAACTTAGAGGATCAATTGGGGGAGGATCAAGGATACCAAACGAGTCTAATCGAATATTAATTATGTCTACTTCACAATTGGCACAACAATTGGCACGAATGGAGAGTCCAAGTCCGCGACTTGCTAGATCACATAGCGTTTCGAGCGATAAGCATTCAACAGCTAGCACTTACGCAGGGCTACTCTCTCCACCTCTCTCAATTTCACCAGAACCAGTCTTCATTGCCCATTCAGCAGCTTCACAAATCGTTACAAATGATCATGATAGCAGGGCGGATGCTTGGCTCGATCAACATGGCATTGAGCCTTCTGGAGAAACGGCATTGGTATCACCCGCTGCTCTGAAACTTGTCAACACATTTCTTGATCAACTTGTATTCAATTTTCTCTCGGTTTCGAAATCAACTTCACTGGTGTCATTACGCCCGGCTGTTGCCGAGGTCTTAAAGTCAAGGCTGGCAAGTGATGCGGTCAGTGGAGCGGATGCCGAGCTTCGAGAATATTTGGGTGGAAGTGAAGATGATGAATTGTTGTCATCGGAGAGGGAAGGTCAATCCAGCCGAGATTGGGATCTTGAACTGGTATGGAAGCGTACGAGATTGAGATGTATGGTTTATTCATCATTGGGAGATATGGAAGAGGAGGATGAGGATCGATACACAGCTCAAGAGCATCTCAATGGATCTTCGGAATTTGGGGGCCGCGAAAATGAATCTGGAATCGTTTCTCCAGCTGTTGCTATCTTCTTGACATCCATCTTGGAATTCATGGGCGAACAAATCCTAATTATGGGAGGACAAGCAGCGTATTCCCGGCTTCGAATGAAGTATGAGAAAGATGAGCGAGATGGCGTAATCAGACAAACTGATATTGCAGAACGTGTAGTTGTGGAGGAGGCTGATATGGAGCGGGTCGCATCAGATCGAAAATTGGGAAAACTTTGGAGAGGTTGGAAAAAGCGCATCCACTCGCCCACAAGTCCAGTGTCAATAGGTCACCTCTCCTCGACAGAAACAGTAGACGGGCCATCACAACCTGTACCGGCACTAGCGCAACTGGCTAGTATACCTCTCGGCGATGATAAGCAACCACAAGAGACATCATTCAACGCACTGACCGAGTACGAACAAGCTGCTATTATTCCTTTACCAATGTCCGTGGATGATATTAGAGAAATCGAAGTACCAGGACTAGCCCCATCAAGCGACGATGAAGACGACTATGCGACATCAGAGACGGAAGAGCTGCCATTATCTCGAAGACCGAAGAGTATGGTTGTTTTCACGAACGCATCGCACAATCTCCCCACACCCAATTCCTCCCAACCACCAACTCCCATTTTCGCCGTCTCTCCTTTGAAATCGAGGAAACGTGCAAATTCATTGCCACCTCCAAATCCATCTACTGTCACGTCACTTTTCTCCCGAGGTTCCAAGGAAGCAAATTCGAACCAGGAGGATTGTGTCAGCCCGACGCAAAGTGGAGCCCCGGTCTTAAATGGCACGATCACACCTGCAGAATCAGAGAAGGATACAGGGGAAGAAATTGAGGAAGTTTCAAATAGAACCAAGAGCGCTGTAATGGAATCGAAGCACAAGCCTACAGATGGCTCTATGAATTTGGATGACACCAGTAAGGATATAGATTCTGACTATGAATTTGTAGAGGAGGAACCGCAGATCATGACTTCGTCACGTATATCTTTCGGTGGTCGTATTTCTCCCGATGACAAAGATTCTTCTTCACGCTCTAGTCTCCCATCACCAAGCATTCATTCCTTGCGCCTGATCGATGTCAATACAGCGAAGAGTCCTACAACAAGATCACGCAAAAGCTCGTTTGACGCAACTGATTTCATTGCAGGCCGAGTGATCCCGATGTCTAGATCTAATAGTATTAATTCACCGATCGTCTCGGAACTTTCATCTCGAGGTACAAGCCCACACCTAAGAAGCTCGAATAGCTCTCCGTTAGGTCGAACTGGCTCCAATTTGAGCTCACTGCCTCTCAACACAACTACTGATTCTATATCAGAGGTAGATGAAAGGGAGGTGGCTGGTGAAGAGTCTCCTTTGACAGCGGTACCATCAGAGCTAGCGGCTGCGATGCAAGGTGTTGACGTAGATCCCAGTCCTACGTCTCAAACCTACCCTTCCTTTAAGCCAGCCGCTTCTCGGCCGGCACCATTTGTGCTCGCTGCTCCTCCTACCCCGCAGAATTATCGAGAAAGCATAAAAGGCTCGACCAGACTACAATCTAGCCAGAGCAAGTCATCAAGTGGATTCTCAAACTCAAAGTTTCCAGCAAGTGAACAAGATGGTCAAACGACATATCAGGGTGCAAAAAATTCATTTGAACCACCTCCAAGGTCCGTCTCTCGTCCAATGGCCAATCCTGCAAACGAAAATTCGACGATTCTGCCTATTGTAAAAGAGGGCAACTCCCCAGAGAGTTTCAAACACATCCCTCGTTCATCCTCGGTGCGCCGTACGTCACCAACAAGCTCTAGAGGCGAGGAAGTGCCACGCAAGACTATATCAGAAACGCATCAAAAAGCACATCGCCCATCCTATACATCTACCTCTAGCTCATCATCTGTTCATCGTGTTCAACAAAGAAGAGTATCGGAAGAAAGCGGTGTTTCTGCGATGAGCAGTGTAGGTGATTCCAAATCATTTGAAGAATTGATTCGAGGAGGCGAGACCATTCAATACACATTGACACCGCAGAATATGCGGGCTATTGAAAGTCCAGATTCACCGTTGAGTTTAAATGCCATCCCTGTCCCTCGACCTGCTATAAGCCGAACGCATTCAACATCAGTGAGCAAGCATACTGGGTTGTACTCGCATCCTCCAAATGATGTTTCAAAAAATACTACTTCTTTGAAAGGCAGTAGTCGTGTTCGTGCCAATGTCCAACCGAGAGATGCAAGAATAGAACGTGATTCACTGGGCGATTTCTCCGATTTTATTCGATCCACAGGTCCTGCGGTTCCTTTCAAAAAGGAAGATATTCACTCACGCTCAAATTCAAGTGCCGCTAGTGAGATTTCCCGACCAATAACCAGCAGTACTTTTCACAAAGGAACCAATGGAACGCCGAGAAACGTCAGCAGCTCAATTCCCCGTGTGGGTCCCGTTGCTACTCTTCCGACACGCTCAGCATCATCAGCGGGTAGAGCTGGAAGACCAAATAAACTACAGGCTCGCGATGCCACTGTAGGCAAAGATTCTATCACAGATCTTATCGACTTTGTAAGAGCTGGTCCGGATGAGGTCGGTGGTCATCGTATACCACGAACTGTCGCCCCATTCAGATCTACCATGGATTCCGACCAAATGTCTAGTTTCGCTGGTGGTAAAGCTATCGATGCATCTCTACCTGATTCTAGATATAGTCAAGCCTCTACTTACACATCCACAAACCATTCTGTATCTTCGCAAACCGGACTCCTGAATGGTGCCAGCAGGGCCAACAAGCCAATGCCCACACAAAGTGGTATGAATTTTGATGACGAAGAAGATATGATGCCGAAACGAAAGACACGAAGAGTTAGGGATCCATACGCCATCGATATCAGCGACGAGGAAGATGATGACGAATTTGAGCCTTCTTCCAGGCCGGCACCCATCAAAGAAGAGTCTTTGGCCGACTTTCTCCGCAATGTACCTCCACCGCCTTCACCCAAGATGACGTCCGTTTTCGCTGAACCTCCTAAGCCACCTAAGAAGAAGGCCAGCTTTTCTTCACGTTTCACTCGAAGTGGCTCAACTTCTCAAGTTCAGCCACCCAAAACATCACATTCTGCAAACTCCCGCACCGCACCCACAAAACACACGCCTCTTGCGCCAATTAATCCTCAATTCAACGCTCCCCCCGCTGTTGGCAGTAGCCAGGGAAATCATTCTCGGCAACCCGAACTTCCACGAGCAACCTCGGGCTCAAATGTTGTCCGCAAGCCTTATGAAAGTCGCGAGCCTGCTCCAATGAAGTTCAGATCTCAAACCAGCGATCTTGCAGACTTTTTACGAAACTCAGAACCACCTCCATCGATAGAACCTAAACCTTTCGTTCACGCAAAGGAGGAGAGTTCATTCGCAAGTCGATTCTTCGGTCGACGGAAGAAGAGCACTGCCGGGTTTTAATACTTTGGATATTTATTGTACGACATAGCGCTCATCATTACTTTTCATCATAGCGAACAACATATACGATATTGCTCACTTTGGGAGGTTGTTGCGTATTCAGTTTATGAAATAAAACACCTAAAATTCTTGCTCGAGTCTCATCCGAGGCTTTTTACATATTGAAATGAACTTATCTATTCAATGTCAATACATATTTGGGGGACCTGGTTTGCGCTTGCTTCATTTTTGATTTTAGATACCAATCTGAGCATGACTATTGCTCTAGTTCCAATTTGGAAGGGGAAGAAGGGAGGGAAGAAGGATGGAGGCTTTTCAAATTTGATCGACCTTCTGAATACATATTTGGGCAAAATGATTTTACTACTTTCACTGAGATGTATTTTACTTGAAAGGGATTGGATGAGTTCGAGGTAGTTTGGAGATTATTTTTTTCAGGACTAGATGGACATATGGAGTGATGGATGGATGATACGGAGTTGAAAACTTTAGCTGATAGGAGAAGTTTGGCCTTTAAATGTTGGCCACACTGTATTTTGTAAATAGACCTTGAATGGAATGAAACAATGTGGGAAGTAAATTAAACTTGATTTGTACTTGGATTACTATGTGATATTACAAATTTGTAAGAGATTGTGAGAATGAGAACCTAGACATACAAAATGTACAAACCCCTACTATTTTATAAGAATGACAGCGGTATGCTTCACTGAAAGATCCTTTATTATTCCACTCAAGATTATCCGACATCTCACCAGTGACTGAGACCGGATTCATCTCATTCATCTTGTGAATCCTATCCGTCCCACCCATCACTCTACTCCCCGACCCATACACTCCGATCCCAACCCACCGTCCCCCTCATCCTATTCCAACCCGCTCCCGCCACCGCCTCCGCTTCGATACTATCCACCACCGTCTTCGAGCTCAACCGATGCGAGGTTTCGGGAAACGAAATATATCCTTCTTCATCTAAAACACACAGGGTAGATTTGATCCATGTTCTACATGAAATTTCTGATTCCGAGGACACCATTTCTTCCTTCTCCTCTTGCGAGTACTTTTCATTTTCCTCTTTCTGGCCATCTTCCGTCCCCGGGTGCGGATCTTGTGATTGGGAGATATTGGATTCCATGCTTTTCAGCTGTGCTTGGAGACCTAATATCCCCAGGCGTTCTGAGAGTGCGGGGTGGAGAATCGTATCTATGGAGCATATTTTGAGGATGAAGAGGAGGGAGGGGATGAATTTCAGAAGGTGCGCGAGGGGGAATGTAGGGGATTGGTAGAGCCAAGGACCGGTCATGTTGCTTATGTGGACTAGGGTTTGCGTGAGTTGGGGAGCGGGAAAGAAAGATTTAAGATATACGTACAGATGGTGCCGGTCACGGGGGTGAGAAAAGGGGTACGCGTAGCGGGGGGAGGAGCGGAGGTGAGGAGGTAACCCCAGTGGACTAGAGTGTGGTGTTTATGTGTAAGTACTTTTGTATACCAATTGATAAACTTGCCAATTTCTGATTTTTGTTGATAAATAAAACGAGTGCATCAATTCAATATATATAACAAATAAACGGGGAATTATAATCAAAGTTTCTTAAACAATGCTCGTTTACCAAAACGACTTGATCGACAAGATACGAAACCACAGGTAATGAATAGAACTTACAAAGCGATTCATGGCCTATATCCGCAAGTAGAATATACAAAGTCGAGGGGGTGAATGTGAAGTTTGCGGGGAGAGATGGAGGACTGGTCATGGTGGTAGTAGTGGTTGTAGTGGTAGTAGTGGTAGTGGTTATGATGGGCGTGGACATATTTGATAAGGATCCTATTCGTGAGGATTTTGATAGCAGTGATTGACAATCTAGCGCAACTTTCCGTTGGAAGGTTAGACAGTCCTTGAAGAATAGAGCGTAGGAGATCAGGGAGGCGGGAATTTAGTACTCGGGATTGGAGGGACTCGTTTCGTGGTGGAGTAAGGCCAAAGAGTAGAATTTCCATGCATATGAGAGAAGCAATGGAACTTCCAACAGTTGAATGAGAGGGTTGAAAATTATGTAATTAGAATTAGTAGTAGACAATACAAGCGTAAGATATGGGGATAAAATGCAGCGTGTTGCAAAATGATGAGAATGATTTCAATGTTGTAGTGTTTCTAGAAACTCAGTTGATGCGACGTGATAAGGTAGGCGCTGGCACAGGCCACATGCGAGAGCTGTTGAAACAATGCGAGCTCACCGGGAGCAAACGCGCATATCTGATGTTGGATTCGCCACAAAGAGATGACAATTTCAAGTTCCGTTAATGAAACTAGAATAAAAAAGAGAAATGAAAAAGTGCTACAAAGTAATGTAATTCACAGTGTTATTATATGCAAAAAATATCCAATGGCCTAAGAACAATAGAATACACGATTTGTGATTCTTAACTTGAATATTGAATGGGGCATCTATGCTCTACATTCCCCTATCCCTCAACCTCCTGTATTTCCCCGCATCCTTAACACTCGCCTTGATCTTACCCAACGCAACCTCCCAATCCGCCCCTCCAATCTTCAAGTCATCTTCCATGGTCGCCTGTCCCTGTGCTACCATGTTCATCTCCCTCTTCAACGCTGCCACCGCAGCAGCTTGATGTAAGTTACCCAAATCCGCTCCACTGTAGCCATTGCACCTCTCATCTCTCGCTACTGGGCCTAGTGCCTCAATTTCTTGTGCGCTGGCAAGTGGCAATGCTTTTCTATAGAGAGCCTTAAGGATTTCCACACGTTCGTCAGGAGTTGGAAGATCGACGAAAACTGATGTTCCAAGACGACCTGGACGAAGCATAGCGGGATCAATCATGTCAGGTCGATTGGTGGCGCCTACAACGTAAATTCCAGCTCTATTGCTTAGACCATCAAGCTCAGTGAGGAGGGTATTGACGACTTTACTACTAGCTTCTGACAAAGAGTCTTCACGTTTGGGAACCAATGCATCCAATTCATCAAAGAAGAGAATACATGGTACGGATGATCTAGCGCGCTCAAAAACTTGTCTAACAGCCCTCTCAGATTCTCCAACATATTTATTGAGAAGTTCAGGACCTTTGATGGAAATAAAATTGGCCTTAGATTCGTTGGCCACAGCCTTAGCAAGAAGGGTTTTACCACATCCAGGTGGTCCCCAAAGCAATACTCCTGTTGGAGCTGTGATACCAACTCGAGCAAAAGATTCTGGTCGCTTGATTGGTTCGACAATGGCCATTTCGAGTTGCTCTCGTACCTCGTGCAAAGCACCGACATGAGCCCATGTTGTATCTGGAATTGTTGCAAACCCCTCTCGTTTAGCCGATGGCTGAACTTTGGGTATAGCTGCAAGAAAATCGGTATATTTGATAGAAAAATCACCGTCGGGAGCTGAGCCTCCAGCATTTGCGACGAGAGACCTCAGAACGAGGAGAGCTTCGGAAGTGCTATCCTTCAATATCGGAGTGTCAAGCTCCATGGATGTGGCACTTCGTAATGGAGTATCAAGCTCCATGGTAGAGGCAGTTCGTTGTTTCAATGCTTCCATCATACGCTTCATCGCTTCTGTACCTGCAACAGACACAACATCATTCAAATCAGCACCCACAAATCCAGGAGTCATCTTTGCCAAAGCATGAAAGTTGAAGTCATCAGTCAAGACGAGCTTCTGGGTAAGAGCACGAAGAATCTTCTCTCGAGCAGCTTCGTTTGGAACCCCCAAATTAATTTCCTTGTTGAAACGGCCCGCTCTTCGAAGAGCAGGGTCAAGACTGTCAGGTCGATTCGTGGCAGCAATTATAATGACAGGTTTACCACCAGTTTTCTCCAAAGCCATGTCATCCATGGATGTGAGCATTTGGGCAACAATTCGTTTTTCCATCTCCCTCTGAGCACTTTCACGTTTTCCCATGATGACATCAATCTCATCGATGAAAACAAGACATGGTGCCATACGTTTTGCCTCGTCGAAGACATCCCTAATTTTCTTTTCTGATTCTCCAGACATTCCAGCCACTAAAGATGGCGCAGATATTGGTATGAATGATACTCCTATTTCTGCAGCAAAGGCGTTTGCGATCATCGTTTTACCACAACCGGGTGGCCCATGGAGAAGAACTCCTCGAGGTGGTTGAATTCCCGTCCTGATATATGTTTCTGGATATAGCATTGGCATCGCTACAAGCTCGTTCAATTCCTCAATAACATTATCCACTCCTCCAAGATTCTCCAACGAGATGTCCGTCGGCGGTGCCCTATCCACATCTTTTTTAACTTCTCGTTCTGCTTTCCGACGTTTCGATTTTGGTTCCCCGTTTGCTTGTCGATCTGATTTCATCGGTGATTCAACTTCCCCATTGCCGAGAGGGTTGGTCTGAAGTTGAGCCATAGGAGTAGTAGCCCCACTCGCAGAAGGCGTACCGTTCAGAGAGTTCATTGTAGGTAATGTTGCTGGTTTTCCCCAACCTTTGGTGATACTTTTATTCATTATGTTGTGCTCCTGAAAGACAAGTCAGTATATCACTTCAAAGGCTTGCGACTTATATACTTTTAGCGGTGGTGCCGCCTCCTCCAATCCTTCAAAATCCCCATCTACGGAATCACTATCATCTTGTTCTTCCTTCAACACCAACAGCACTCTATCAATTGAATCTTCCAGCAATTTTTTTGATCTTCTTTTTAGACTTGAATTCGAATTTTTGATACTATCATAGACAATAGAGATTGTGAGACGCTTTGGTCCTTTCTGGCTCTGTGCCTGTTCATCTGCCAATTTCCTTACAATTTGATATATCTGCATAAACTTTTAGTAAACAAGCTGCAATTCAAGTTCATGTTTGCGCCGTGAGCAATCCATACCTCCTTGTCCAGTCCTTGACTCAAACTTGGCCTTCCGCCTCTAGAAATCATAGTGAGCCTTCCAAACAACCTCGAGTAACGTGCACCCAAAGTTATTCGAGCTCCCAAGTAGCATGAATGTTTGAAAATAAAAAAAAAT